AATTGCAATCGGTTACTTTGGTCACTGAACTTCACCCAGAAATTCCTGCTTCAGCTCCGATGTCCAAGCACATGAGAACACCCTGGGAATGTCACCAGGCTCGGTGTCTGACTCTAGTAAGCAATTGTCCACCATGTCCCTAAATAAGTACTCTTGCTGCTAAACATATCAACTCTTACTTCAAATGCAGAAAGGCAAAAAAGGATCCATAAATATCAGAAATACATTAAAAATGGTGAGTTTTAAGCAACGTTAAGCACATATGAGGGGAGACGCACACAGTGTTTATACACAAACACAGGTACCCACCCGCCCGGCAGCGTTCCAGGAGAGCGCGGGCTCAAAGAGGTGAAGGACTGCAGGACAGAGAATTTTGACGTTACCTTCTCATAGTTTGTGAACCCTCCCATGACTGCAGGATCCACAATGCCGTTAAGTAGCATGGAGAGAGGGTTAATGGGGAGATTCGGATCATTTAAATGCTGTTGAACCATATTATTGATCTTATCATTTGTTAGCTGCATGGTTTCTATTGCGTTTTCCAGTGGACTAATTTCAACCTAAAATAAAAACAAAAGGAGGTTTTAATCAAGAAGCAGAGTTGTTTACCTGCCACAGAACTGGCTGTCCACCAAACCACTAGGATTAGAAACATTTCAGGAATTTCAGAACAAAAGAGATTTTACCCAATAATTAACAGAAATGTAGATATTTGGTATTTATACACTGTGGTAACTGATACGATAATCAGTACCAGTGGAGAAAGTGAAATGCGTTTTGCTGCTGTAGGACGGATTACATCTCAGCACAACAGCACAACATTTAGAAAGGCTCTGACAGGAATCACGTGAGGTTTTTGGAGGATTATGGAGACCATCAGAGATTACGAGTCGGTGAGTTTTAGCAGTACAAAGACGATCCAGCTTAATGTAACACTAAGAAAGAAATGATAACTTAACATGGATTTTCTGATGGAAAATGTAATCCTAAGCAGCTCAAAAATGAAGAAGATATCAAGTGATTATTTTGGTGTATTTCCAAGGAAATCAAGTTTAATATGTTGAAGAGATGACTTCTAAGCTCTCTGCTGTGCTTTTTCCCACAAGGTCACATTTTCTTCATCTGAATGTCGGTAAGTGAAGGAAGACATTTTCTTTCTCACATAGCCTTGGAGTCCAATGAAGAGAGCTCCTCAGATGTCTTCATGGGGTGAATTAGCTCTTATACTGTGTAAAACTTGATTTATTTTAATTGACTGCTCTCCAACTATTATTTACGACCAGATATTGTGTCTTTCAGAATGACAGTTGCTCTTGTTGAAAAAACAGTATTAGAATATTGCTACAATATGCACATTTAGTGAACGGGCTAAAAATTACTAACTTGCAGCAACCCAGAGTGTAGACAGTCCTCACTGGAAGATACAGCCCACTTACATTAAAAAAATGATGTGGTAGGAATAGAAAAGGAAGGTTAATTGAGGCCTGCGAGGAAAACGCAAGTGTGTATTTGATTACACCCTAATTTACATAAATGCTACATAAACAAAGAAGCACTTCTACCTGGCTATCAGTTGCTTACCATGTTTCTGAGAACCACTTATAATCAAATCTCTTTAGTTGTTACTCTTACACCTGCCATCTGATTACATCAAGGGTGTTTTAATTAGCATTTTTAGCAGTCTGCCTGGGGAATTATTCTGGAAGGCAGGTCAGGAGCCTGATGTGTCTGCTGCGGCTGTGGAGCGGCCCAGGCTCAGACGGACAGACGGCGACTGCCGTCCAGAGCTGAACGGGCTACGGGTGAAATCCGGACTGGGAAAGGAAGACCGTGTTCAACACCCAGTTCGGCAAGAACTGCTGCAAACATCACACGCTAAATTTAGAATTCTGTCATTTGTATTAATGGGCGTGTAACTATGCAATAATTTGTTGATGAACCATTGCTTTTAAAGCTCTTGAATATCTACAGAAATTAGCACTCATTGAGCCGACAGACATCTTTTTTGACTTTTCTGTATCGGCAATCACAGCTTTCTTTCTCATTCTCCTTTCTTTTAGTACTCTTATCATCCTCCCTCTAATTTTTTAAAAGCAGATGGAGAATTGCAGTTCCCATCCTACTACTATAAACTGTGCTTTGGAACTTACTGAAAGCTATTTATTAAAAATATCTACACTTGTAAATTATGAGCCTTGTTCCAAGTAGCTTGCTAACTCTGGACACTACACAATCTATTCAGGGCAAACAGAAATGACATACTCCCAACACATTTGCAACACCAAAAAAAAGAAACATCAAAACAAAATAGAGATTAGTATTTGTATTTTCAAAAACTAAGTGCAATTCAAAACCCAGTTTCTAATTCGCTGGTTGGCCTCAGCAATTTTTTCCCCTACAACTACTTGTATCCAGCTAAAACAAATCAGATACAGAATAATGAATGTGTACAACTAATTACTTGCAGATAATGAACAGATTGAAAAGGTTTAGGTAAAAGTACTCAGAAGGAATTTTAAAAGCAAATAGATTTAAGGAAATTATGCATGTTCCTATGGATTATGTAACACAGTACACTGCGTTTATTCAATTACTCGGTTCTCTCTCGGCACTGATTTGATAGGATCTCACCTCTTCCTTTAAAAATATTCTAGTTCCATCAATAAAATATGAAATGTGCAAAGCTACTTTAACTCATTGTGCTTAGTAAAATATCAATAATCTCTGTATCCATAATCAAAATTTAGCATTACAGGGATGTAAACCTCATGATCGTGCTTCCAGCATTTTAGCTGACAGGAATCTTGAAGAAAGTCAATACCAATTTTGTAGTAACTCTGCCAGAGCTAGGTCAAAAGTTATCCGTTGTCGTCTTCCCACATATTATTAAGTTCCATTCTGGTATCATTTTTCAGCTATGCGACTAATATAATCCTTACTTACAAAAAGCTTATAGAAAGCACTCTCCCAGGATTTATGCACATTTCAATGACAAGCATAGCGTTAAAGGTGCGTGTATACAAATTGCCTGCATAAAGCAGCCTGTCAGGCTGTGCTCTTAACTCGTACGGAAAAGAGACTTTCATCAGATTTGCCAGCCTTTATAAACAACACTTTTTGCAATCATCAAGATAAATACAATCTTCTCTATCAGGATTATATTGAAAATACAAAATCCATTAAAAATTCAATGTGTTTTATTCAGCTGCCTATTACTGTCAAACATCACATTCATATTCTGTTACTATAGATACCATAGTAATTTTCTGCATTACTTCTGTTCATCTAAATACAACTGTCCAACATAACCTCAGTGGAGCAATGAAAAAGGTTTTAATTAATCATATGCAAATTGTTCTTTTCCTTTAAAAATAAGCCTCACAAGAGAGATTTAAAAACTGCAGTAACAATGTTTTTATTGCTATTTAAAAATTACAGCTGCGTAAGAAAAATTTAATCTTAAAGGCGTTTAATGGATATGTCTTATCTAAACAGTCTAAACGGTAGAACAGAGAAATGCATAATTTGGAGTTACTCTGTGAGGTTGCTAGGGTATATTTTAGCTAACTATGGAAAAGAAACAAAAACAACCTTTAATCACAAATGATAAGTAGCGAAGAAATGCAGACACATACAATGCATTTGATTTATGGCATATTTGGAGTAAATTACAATCAAAACACCCCAATCCTCTTTTCCAAAATTCAGACTAGTTTCATTTTGATGTAGCAGGGTTCCCCTACAGCATCTCAGGTCCCTCTTCATTTTAGGCACACAGCTTATGCCACAAGCTGTAACAGCTCACCTGCCAAAAGCCAGAAATACTTTATGAAAGTACTTCAAGCACTCGATCGGACCTTGCCCTAAAGGCCTGGAAGAGTCAGCCCGCGTTTCCTTCTCTCAGGAGTGGAAAGGCATTACTTGAGTCACCCTCAGTCAATAGTCAGCATCCTCAGCAAGCAAGTTCCCTTGTCTTAGGATGCCAGATATAGCTGCATTGATTGCTTGTTCACAGAGCTGAAGCACAGTCATACAGAAACATAAATGCTCCCTGGCTCTATAAGAGCCCCATTCTTTCCTGCAATCTCAATAAAGCCAAATTGATCTTACCATGAAAACTGATTTGACTTCAAACCACCTCAGAATCCCTGGTAATTTATAGGCTGTCACATAGATGGTTCTCTCGATCCACATATTCTGCAAATAAAACACAAACATCACCTTATCAGATTGATAGCTTTTATCTTAAGCAAAGCCGTAAAACATTATCATCAGGAAAAGGAACTGCAGTACAACAGACATTACGGAGCCAGAGGGAAATTTCAAATGGAATCTGCCTGGGGAGATGATGGAGCTGCGCCAATTTAAATCTGATATGAGATTTAGTAGGGAACTGTCTTACCAAAGGAGAACATCCTGTAAAAGATCCCCCTGTTTTACTGGACTGTCATTTTTCCTGTGTAACTTCTGGAGCTTTCAAGGACCATCCTCCACAAAACCACAACATCTTGATATAGGGAACACTTCTTCCCCAGGAGGGCAGAGGAGCCCAGGGACAGGTTGATAACTGATGTCAAAGACATCTCTTGATCTGATTTTGCTAGAACTGGCATATGTTGGTAGTTCATCTTACTTATTATGAGGCTTTTTTTTTAAACAAAATTGTCTATTCCATGCTCCATTAACTGAAGAAGTGATTTCAAAGTGATTTAGATATACCTAGGGTTTTTTATCTATACTCAAAACATATTCTGAACTGTAGCACTCCAGTCTAGCATTATGCTTTTAGAAAAGAAGGGTCTCGTTCTCAGCTAAATCCATGTAGGTTAGCAAATTAGCAATTTTTGATACAACAGCCACCAAGAGAAGCCACAGACACGAAAGGAGTCTCTGAATGAATACCTAGTCTTAGCTGTAGGAAATCAAACACTCAGCATTTATTGGCCTATTGATTAGGTTAGAGCCTGCTACTACACCGAAAACCAAGTTCTTCGCTCAAGAGATGATGCATTAATTTATTACTTTAATTACTACTACTACTTTACTACTAACTGTGCCCACTAGAACCCCTGTGAATAAAATGGTGTCTAAAAAAAAGGCAATCAACTTGATGTAACCTGTTGTAAACATTTTGATGGATACAAGCTGTGCTCCAAGGGAGTTTCATTGACCATTAGATGAAACATATAGTTTAGCAAAAAAAAAAAAAAAGAGAAAGAAAAAGGTATTGCTGCAAAAAGATTTTCAGATGCCTGACTGGAATCTTCATGGCAAGACAAGTTTTGGCAAGAGACATCTATCTTTTCGGGTATATCCATTTTAAACTTCCTTCTTAAAACAGTTGGTTGGGTATAACACAGAACGCGATAAATTGGTTTAATTGAATTTCTATGAAAAATAATCACATTTAAACCTAGAATGTATTTTCCAACAACCAAAACATAATGAATGGTTCAGAGTCTCAAAATAGAGGGGAATAAACAAGCAAACCCCAGAAGTACTCTATTTTCTCTCTCTCTTTTTTTTTTTTTTTTTTTTTTAATACCGCAAATTCATTGTCCGGGTTTTTCTCTCCTTTTCGAACAGGGCGTGAATACTCAAACCGTTGGACTTCATTCACTCTATAGAAACTGGAAAAAGGGAAAAGCACAATCAAATCAAGTTTAGGAATTGCTGCTAAACTCTAGTACTAGAAAAAAGTTTATGCATAAACATAAAATGCTTATGGGATCACTGTTTTCCAGTGGGTTGCATGGAATCTCTGCTAATATTAAGAATGTCCATGAAATGTCCTCACGATTACAACCCTCCTTGGCTGTGTACAGATCTGTCATACAACAACAAGAACTAGTTTAAGTGTTATAAAGGAGACTGACAAAATAGCAAAACCAACCCAAACTCACCTCACGATTTGTTCTGACACTGGCCTGTGAAATTTAGACGGTAAATCCAGTTTTGGCTTTACAGTAAAGCACTGAATATCTGAATTCAGGGGTTAAGAACTGAAAAGCAAATTTCAGTCACGCAGAACAGGCAGCTCAACGGGAACGCGAAGAAAGGACAGAACAACAAAACGAATGTATTACACTCATAAAGGCAGAAGTGCAACAGACTCCTGCTTGTCTTGGCCATAAATCCTCGACGTGTGCAGGTGCAGGAGCTGCAGTACAACCTAAGGATACACTGCCCGGAGGAGTTTTTAATGTCATCGCCTGGTGGAGACGTCGTCTTCATTTTTTCTGCGTTTGGAAACTGAGTCAATAACCTTGCTTCGAAGTCTTCGCGGCGTTCATACTCCTTTCCCCGGTAAATGAAGACTTTGTTCTGGAAATAAATTGAGAGGTGAAATCCTAATAGCTGTATCCTCATTAATGAACTGAGATCTCAGACGTGCTGTCTCCAATGCCGTTAAGTAAGAAATTTTATGTTCCTCACACTATGATATAATCAATAGTTTACAAATATTTTATGCCAATCCAATAAAGCACAAATGGATTTCCTTACCTCCAATTCAGTACTGAGATCATTAAGCATGCACTTACCTTTAGGCCTATGGACAAACTGCACTAAATTCAACAGGATCCAAATACATGATTTCAAGAATCTCTAAAATAGGTGCCCACTGGAAATGTATTAAGACAAATTATGTCCTCTACCATATCCACAATCTCCCTCTCTAATTCCTCTCATCCACCTTCCACAGCTAATGAGTGGAATGGATGTAAATAAACAGAATTAAGTCTTTTATACACAAACATTTATTAAAAGACACTGAGGTGAGCAACCAAGAGTAGCAAAGTATGAACAGAAAATGATGCCAATTTTAAATTTTAGGAGCAAGGTTCAAAGATACTGACTCTCTTAGAAAGACTGATACACCCTAGACTTTGTATTAGTCTATTAGATTTTTGTCATTGTACAGCTGTGTGCACAAAGCATAAATATTACATTAAATATATTGTATTTCTAAGTGTTGGTTTCTTCTTTAATAAAGAAATTTAAGATATATTTTACACAGTCCATTTATATACTGAACAAGCACATTACATTCTAAAGAAAAATGTAGAAGATGACTTGCATATTTTTAACTGATCAAACATATTACAGTAAGTTTTGTTATGAACGTAACACTTGCACCTGAATATGCTTAACCAAAATGAACACTTGGTGAAAAATTTATACAGCACTTATTAGAAAAAGGGTGTTAGGGGTAGAAAACTGGAATAGTTTACATTTGCCCAGTTGGGTTTAGTTCTGCAATGGTACCTTCTGAAACGCACAGTAGATGAAAGAATGCTCTCTATTTGGGAGGAAAAAAAAAAGAGAAAAGAGCAGACGCCTAAGTGTATATATATCTGTCATTCACGTATATACACCTGTAATTCACAGGAAAAATTCAATAGAAGATAAAGCTTGTATTAAGGATTTTCTCAATCAGCAAGGCACTTAATAGCCTATTTTTCAGACTTTTTATCACTCATTTATTACAAACCGACCAATCCACAAGGCTATCGTAAAGCATGGTAGGTGTTGTCCCCATTCGGTTGTGAAAAGAAAATGCCATTCAATATTAACACAGCAGATGAACACTACCCTGCATTGTACCCCTTGGAGTATACACATTAACACAGTGTTTAATGGGGAAGCTGTGATGTGCTCCCTGCGCTTTTGCACGTATATACAGGGTCGAGTCAGAGGCTGAGACAGGCTAACCCATGGCTACCCTCCTCGTTCGCTGGCCCCGTCGTGATCCCAGGGCAACCCCTCCCTGGTGAGCAGGTCCAGATCACTGGATGTTCCCGATATTTCCAGAGGGTAACGGGCACTCTGTTGAGAGTGACTCTACGTCTGACAAAATTTCACGACGGACAGCCGCAATCCCCTTTGCAAAGTTATCAGTGACTTTATTGTATATTCATAATTTTGAAGATTCCTGATAATGCAAGCCTTCCCTATGACAATATAATAAAATATTAATTCAATAATTTTCTAGAGAAATGGGTTGGTCAATCTTAACAGTGACTCCTTCTTACTGAATACTAAATATTTTTTGCCTGGCAAGACTTATGGAATTATTAATAAACATTTCACAAAAAATCTTAGTAAAGCTTTTTTACTTAATGTACAACAAACATTTTTTCCTGTTTGATGCTTGATGAAAGCTCTTGCCTGTACATTACATGTATTTCAAACGGCACAATAAGTCTTAGTTTTTCTGCATCGCATCTCTTTAGAGTTGGTCTTTTGATACCCACGGTAGCTTGCACACCGTCATGCCTTCGCATCTGTTACTAACATATGGCTTTGCCGGTTTGCAGAATGACATTTCATAAGCTTTAGGGCAGCTCTGGGTGCCGATGATCCTGCCACCTTCCCGCACGCTCAGAGTCTCTTCGGCATGAGTTGCCCAGCCATAATTCGGAGACCAAGCAGTGGGCTACCACACAAGAGCTCATCTCCCAATTTTCGTTTGAGGGTGTGCACACAATGGAAGCTGCAAAATACACTCTTAGCCTGGCAGGAACTGCCCGGGGTCAGCTTTATCCCTTTCAGCTGCAAAGAACTGATAATTTATTGCACTTCTCAGGAGGCATAAATGGTACAAGTACGCCTGTGGTACAGCATCGCTGGGTGTATGAAAAGCCACACATGCTGCTTCTTGGGATGATTCAAGAATTTCAGTTTTTTCACATGGGCTTTAGTCGGTGGAAAAGGAGGCTTTTTCCAAATGAATACCTTATTAAGTAAAAGTTTAATTTCCTGGGATTTTTAAAGCCTTTCCCTCCTTCATTTTAATACACATGAAAGACCAGTTGACCACAAGTAACCTGACAAAGCCAGCTTTCTCAGAAGTCACTGGATTTATCCAGTGAGACAGGTTTCAGCATAGGCTTGGGCTTGCTCCTGGTATTTACTATGGCATAATCTGAGAGAGTTAACATAGAATTACTCAGTTATAAACAGGAACTCATCTCCTAAGTAATTATTTCCAGAAGAAAACCTACCACCAGCCCCTGGCCTGAGACTAAATCTCTCCGAGTCTCCTGGACTCAGAATAATCTGAGAATAACAGTAATAGTTTAATTCTTCTGTCTCTTGAACTGCCTTAATCTACTGTAACTCTTCCATAGTGAGAGAGTCTCTTTCCAAATTAAAAATCCTCAGCTCTTAAAGACAGATACGAGCAGAACAGCAGCTAAATAGCTAACGTGTTATTTCCATGTCACCAACTACCAAGTGCCGGAGTCCACAGAATCATCATACAGATGCAATACAGATGTGTAAAATCCCTACCCTTCTTTAGCCACTAACTCAACTCCACGAAAATCCTGGTATTAGTGGAAAAAACCGAAAACGCCTAAAACGTTACTAAACCTATGTTACTGGCATCAATCAAGCGACATATGTTTTAAATTGACACATGACTCAGGAAAATCAATTATAAAAGACTGCTTTTAAAGGTATCACCCACATCTCTGATATTCAACTTCATTTTAGTAAACTATGCTGGATAGGGCACTCACATGAAAACATGGGCACATGCAAAAGGCTTCTCTACCATATTCATATATATATACACACACATACACCTGTCAGGCAAAAATGTCACCATTTCAGATGGCGCTGGTTATTACCCTGATTTATGGATTGGGTGGCATATCTTCATTTCTAGTGACACCCTGAAGACGTATAAACTATTGGATATGTTTGAAGAAAAAGCTTGTCTACTAAAATTAAACTATTCCATATTAGAGACTGGAAAGGAAAAACCAATGATCATTTTATACACCTAAAAAACTACCATCAATGTTAGGTAGATTTTAAATAACACACTGACATACAATAATGTACTTTCTCCACAACCAAGGGAAATTTCCAAAGCAAGAAACCTTGCTATCATCTGTGGAAAAAGGCGGACACTTACCCGTATGAATGTTGGAAATCCCTGGCCGTAGTATCCAACAGCAAAATAATCTGGTCTTGGTCTTATCACTTTCACAATATTTTCATAGAACTGGGCTTGCTTTCTCTGCAAAATAAACAGAAGGAATTGTAATGACCTACACTTTTAAGGAGATTCCTTATACTTAAGATCTAGATCTTTTTTACGTGTAACTAACTTAAAGATGTACATGTTTCATTCGCCTCTTTTTCTTCACCTTTCCATCAGATATATGCTAATATTTTGAAATACTAGACTCTCCAGCCATTATTTTTATGCTCGTCTTGGTGAACCTCACTGTTCCATAGTCAGTATCTCAATTTTGATGAAGGTCAAGAATTTGCAAGGCAGCCTGAATTCCTGGTTGTGACACTGCTGACGTCGAAACACTGGAATGATGAAGCACGTATTGCTAAAGCCAGCTCATCTCGATGGTGCTGACTTCTCAGTTTTTGGCTGTTCCATTTCATTACATTTTTCTACTACTTCTTTTCCACATTTACAACTATTTATTTGCATATGGAAAGCATGCAGTGGAGAATTGCAGGAAAATGTAACTTTTGGAATAAACACACGCATGTCAGATGCCATCTGTTTTCAAAGTGGAATCCTTCTTTATCTCGAATGATGAAGTAATAACAAATGTGCAGCTTCAGACGATCTGCTCATTAACTTATTTTTAGTCTATTACTTTCTGTAAGAGAATGAATTCTGATTTGGGGGGAGGTTTATTACTGCTCCCATATGACAGATAACAGTAAATGGCAAGAAGACTACAAAGACCCAGATCTGCCATATATTTCTCAGTTCACCTGTAGCAAAACTATTTTGCCATTTGTGAATTGTCTTAGAGTCTAATATTTAATATTGCTTGAATAAAAGAGACAATATGGAGAACAGAAAGAAACAAAAAAGTTTTAAATTGGGGGGGGGGGGGGACAGAGCTAGGATGCTAATGCTATTCAGCAGCAGCAGTAAGAAAAGTTGGCGGGATATGAGACCTGACTCATATGGGAGCGTGAATTTGGATCTTTGCCTTATTAGGGATGAATGCCCAATGCACGCCGGTACTAATTTTTGTGAGGTTTCTCTCAATTTCTCCTGTCTGATAAATAAAGAGCAGATAAACTCAGTTGTCTATGTGAGAATTGGAAGCTCTGGGTCTCCCCAGAAACTCCATTTCCATATGCAGATGAACTCCACCTGGTTTATACCACTACCTGGAACTATGTCACCTAATGTAAACAATGATGTATTTACTGTTCAAGAGAAAAGGTAAAAAATACATAACTCTCTATTATTGGCCATCAGTTACCATGTATAAAGTGCAAATTCAGACTTCTCCTCCAAAACGGATACAGTATGATAAGTAAAGAGTGGCTGCCTGTGTGACAAAGCTATTCATGTTCTTATGTGCAAGCCTAAAGGAGATGGAAAATTAAAAATGAGGGACTCTGAGAGTAGCTACTCACTGGTAAATAATCACATCTGACCCATGAGAATCATTTCTAGCTGAGGAACAATCTCTACCAGATTCTTTTTATATTGAAATGAAGAATATTCTCTATTGAAATGACGAATATTCTCTGTTGAACGCAGCCCTACTGACAGCGGTGGAGGCAGGGGGCCGAGGAAGACTCTTCTGGCAGACCACAGCACCTGAGACATGCTCTGTCGATACATCCCCGACCTCCCGCAGTGCAAAGCACCGTGAAACCAGGCTCCAGATTTGTCAGGCAAATTAACGCAATCAGTCTGTCACTAAGAACAGTTAAAATGCCACAAAAGGAGGACAACCAAAAAGGGATATAAATTCAGCTCTAGAGAGCTGGAGGACAGAACCATGGGCAAAACAAAGAAGAACATGTAAAGGAGTGAAGAAACCATATAATTGAGAGGAATGGTATTTACTTTTATTCCTTCCTCCTCAAGAAAGGAGATTCTGGGGAGATGGGGATGGATATGCCTCTGGGGAGATGGCTCCTGGCCAAACTGAGCGTTGGTGTCAGGTTAGAAAGAGGGTGCAATGACACCGCATTAATGCCCAGCTCAGACTGGGATAAAGCAGATAAACAATTCAAAGAAATGGAGGACAATGTACTCTGGTGAGTGCAAAGGTAAAATCTATCAAAAACCTGAAAGTCAAGAATTTTCAGGACCAAACTGGAATCGTGTCCCAACTCCTGTGAAAATTGTTGAGAAGTTAGGAGGGACAGTGGCAGCTGCCATTTATCTCTTTGGAGAAGAGCAGGAGAAAAAAAAGTGGTGCAGGCAAAATGAATGGGTAACATCAGGGCAAAAATAACTGACTCTAGATATGAATGCTTGGGGATTATTCATACCTAAAAAAAGAAATGTGAATATGGAAAGACACTTGAGAGAGAATGGGGATTTTTTCATGTTCCCACTTATATTTAAATTCCAAATTTCCTTTTATACCCCAAATAAATCAGCTTAACATTACCGAAATATTTTTCTTTCAGCTAAAAAAAAAAATTTCACTCTTTTTCAGGCACTCCAGTTAATCAACATTTGTCCAACAAAGCCAAAGCGGGCATCTATTTCTGCATTTTACTGTCATAAGAGAGATTTTCAATATAATTTTAAAAGCTTAGAAATTAAATTATGAAAAAATTGTTGCAGTGTCTATGTCATTAAAAAAACCTACCAGCAGTTCACTGAGTTGTTCATAATCAAACATTTCATTTTCATACTGTTCTGCAAGTTCTTTACCCAAGGCAATGGCCTCTTCCCACATCTGTTGAAAAAAAAAAACCAACAACAAAACCCCTGAATTACATACCTTGGTTAAACAACAAATTGGAATAAAATAAATCTTAAAAAAACACAACAAAATGCATTGTGTCACATGCCTGAAAACACTGTGCATCTGATGTGCCAAATAGCTGCGGCAGCATTACACACGTCTCTGTTTGATGCAAATCAAGTAAAACGATCAAATTGGTTCAGAAATAAAATGATTCCTGCTCGCCCCACCAAATATCCCCGAATGGGTAAACACAGCCTGCCCACAAAGAAACCCAGAACCCAGGCCTTTGGATAAATGCTGTTGATTGATTCTAGTTCATGATCACCCCTCTCTCCCTCTAATATCTATAATCTATATTAGACGGGACAGGCAATTTGCAGATATTGCTTTGAACAAATATTCATTATATTTCCATTGGTTCTTTTTCCTCTCTTGTTCTTCAACCATGAAATTCAGCAGCCGTCTCAACTGACCCAAAGAAATTTAACAATATCCTTCAGCTCTTCAGAAGCCAACAATCTTAATGAGGAGCAGCAAGAATGTTTTTAAATGTGTAATTTTCATTTTTTTCTACTCTAAATATAAAGAACCCCTCAAATCCCAAAAGATGCTTAAATTAGCACACCAGGCTACCTAAGATCAAACTTGACGATCTGCCTCTGCTGATGAAATTTGGCTGGCACTGCAGATCTCACTTTATTAAAAAAATGAGATTTGGAATGAGTTATAAATGCATTTGGTTTGTATTATCCTTCATCTGAAATGTAAATCCCCTGTCCACACCACCTAACTCTACTTTCAGCATCAGGCCACCTGTCCCTTGCCCCGGTGAAATACCGAGATGGCGGCAGCTGCAAAGTGCAGTTGGATGAAGGAGGGCTGAGGAAAAGGGTTGACCACAGGTTTCCTCATCACTCCCTGAAGACATCCACTTTTGGGAATGAAGAGTTTGAGACGAAACACCACAACTTCCAAACATGGTGGGAGCTGGATGCCAGGGAGAGAGAAGGGGAATGGTGCTCCTGGGGAAACCTTCACGTACACAACCGATTCCTACATCCATCCCATCCAGACCCCCCAACCCCATCCACTTTAAACATTGCCTAAATAAGAAATATTTTAACCCCCAAGACCCTCTGAAAACCAAAAGCCCCCCAAAACACACAAATGAAATCCCATCAATCAAAGCCCAAAATCAATGTTGGGTGAATTTTATTTGTCTTTTGATCTGCAAGTTGAAATCCCATTTCTTATTATATCAGCAAAACTTGGAAAAAATTTCTAGTTCGAGATGCTGATTTAAAAATAACAGTAAAACATTAAGGGTTCATACGACTGTCAGGATGACCGGGACTGCTGCCCACACTGGCTGAGGAGTCAGGCAGGGCACAGCTACCTGTGATGTAGTGGCACAAACACCAGTCTGGGACCTAGAATATCTTTTTTTTCCCTAGGAATTGGCAATTTGGAGCCCAGCCAGGCTAATTCCTCAGCAAGTCTTCCCCCACGTGTAACAAGCCAATGTCACAAAAGCAAGATGTGGCTTGGGGCCCACCGCTTTGCTCTCCGTCCTTGCTCCTCCCTGGAAACGAGGAGCCAGTTTTCAATCAGGGGGCACCGGTCCCACAAACCAAAGGATGGACTGAAAGATTGTCCTGGCAGACTGAGAGTGAAGGGATGGAAAGCAGCAGCCTGAAGAGGTAGGGAGCTGCTGACGGCGGAGCAGATGAGGAGTTGCAAAAGGAAAAATAGTTACGGGAGATCACAGCGAGAAAGGACAGAGATTTATGCTCTCAAGGTAAGAGAGCGAAGTAAAGAGAAAATATGGGCCAGAAACTACACTGCTACGCCTGAGAGAGGGAAAAAGAGCTTTTGAGTCCTAAAGAAAACAAATGGGCAGATGCTTGGGCAAACAGAGACTAAGCGGTGACCTAATTTAAGACAGAAAGGTGACGGATGCTCAGGAGGGGTAGAGCCTGGTACCTGTATTAACCTTTCCTTACGGCTTCACGTGATGTTCAACCTTTTCTCTTGATTTTTCTCATTTCTACAACAAGGTTCACAATATTATCTATCTAGGGAAGAGGAGTGGAATGAGCATGAGTTACCTCATGTTTGTAAAGTGCCTTCAAGACGAAAAATGCATCAGAATGACTAATTACAATCACCGCAATGAAGGATCATATCTGCAGGAAATCACAAGGCAGATTGTACACTGCGATGCAATTGTTGCAAATGGAAGGATCTGAATGTTTTTATCTGTATTATGTATCTAATCTAGAATGATGATACAGAGTATATTTTTTATTTCTAAACAAAAATTAACATGAGTTTAATAGTAAAGGCACATTTGCAGAAAATGAAGTATATTTTCACATACTAGGCTGAGCTAATTTTGGCTCAGAAGAGCAATATACTACCAATTTATAGAAACTAAACTAATACTCAGTTGTTTGGTAAGTCAGCAAGCGAAACCTTTCAAAATCACTTAACCTTTTTTCGACTGCCATTTTCTTTTTAACTTCAGTCATCCATAACTACTTCTGCACATTTTCATTTCAAAGAAAATGGTGTTACCATAATTTTCCTCGTCCCGGTTCTCCGTTTGTGTGTTCCAGATTTAACCAGTCCCTCTCCAAAACCAAAGCATTTCTACTCTCTTTTCCATTGTGAAAATATTTACAGATGATCCCAGGCAGACAGCTTTGGAGCTGAATGAGACTGGAAATAAATGGAAGTCTAAATAATTTTAGATTTGCATCGATACTGTAAACAAACTCATGCAGTTGTTTCACTGACTCTCAGCTAAGCACAGATATTGCGACGCCTTTCCAAAGCATGTCTGGCAACTCCAAGCACCGGCTTGGTGCTAAGGCTCTCTGCCATTTAACGTCAACTAATTGCACCTAATCACCAAGAGGCAAGAGATTCTGGATTAGCGGCGGGAGAGAGGAGGGAAGGAGAGGAGCCGAGGGCGCTGAAACACCATATTGGTGCTCCTCAGCGCGAGTGCCATCATGCCACCGCGGCTTTGCAGCCCATGGGTCACATCACAGCAAGCCCGTCCCGGACTGTCACTTATACGGCTGCAACGTCCTGGAGCCCAACACAACTTCAAGAAGGACATGGACCTGTTGGAGGGAGTCCAGAGGAGGCCACGAAGATGATCCGAGGGCTGGAGCACCTCTGCTGTGAGGACAGGCTGAGGGAGTTGGCATTGTTCAGCCTGGAGAAGAGAAGGCTCCGGGCAGACCTTAGAGCAGCCTTCCCGTACCTAAAGGGGCCGACAAGAAAGCTGAGAAGGGACTTTTGACAAGGGCAGGGAGTGATAGGACAAGGGGAAATGGCTTTAAGCTGGAAGAGGGAAGATTTAGATAAGATATTAGGAAGAAATTCTTCATGGTGAGGGTGGTGAGGCAGTGGCACAGGTTGCCTGGAGAGGTGGTAAATGCCCCACCCCTGGAAACATTCAAGGTCAGGTTGGACAAGACTTTGAGCAACCTGGTCTCATTGAAGAAGTCCCTGCCCATGGCAGGGGGGCTGGACTAGATGATCTTTAAAGGGCCCTTGCAACCCAAACCATTCTGTGATTCTACGATTCTAAAACCAGAGCTGCGCTGTCCAAGGCACTGCATACACATCAATCCCTTTAGGTAGCACAGCATTGCCATTGATTAAATGGCAGCTTTAGCAGAATTAAATCTCGTTTTTGATTTCTTTTTCCCTTCCCGCCCTTGTCAGTTGAGGCTGTAAACACGCCCGAGCGGAGGCTGCGTTTCCACTGCGTCTCCCCCAGCCTGAACAAACCCATTAGATGTTACTGAATATTAATACTAATAATGAATTTTATAAAAGTTTCAGAGCCTAAAAAATGAATCCTCAATTTAAATATGATATAGATTTAGTTCATCTACAATATACATGCAGTAATCACACAATCCTAGCATTCTTCCTAGTCACTGTTCCCCTATTTGCAAGTGGAGATGAACAGGAAAAAAACCCCAGATATTATCAATGTTTGTTTCTGGCTTAAACTACTGGTATTACTTTAAAAATTCTTTAAAAGTTAGTTTACAAGTTACACTGCTAATATTTTGTCACATTACCTTTAATGGAACACTTTCAGGTATAGGTAAGAGGTAAAACTACCCTTTTTCTTCGATACCGCAAATACATGATAAAAGTGCCCCACCATGGGAAAAGAATTTTTCAATTTTTGCCAGTCTCTAACCTGGCCCCTCTCCAGCCAAGGGATCTGTCTGAGAGAAAAGGACCTCATTTTTGTTGCTACTACCTCTTAAAACCCCCACTCCGCTCCAACATCTCTACTCTGAAATCCAATTGTCCGGTTCAATCCTCAGAAGGAACAATGAGAAGTTGTATTAGAAAACTCCATTTGTAAAATGCCAAGTACCCTGAACTCCAGAGGTCCACGAGTCCATTAACGACCTGGCTTTTCCCTCGGTCAGGGCTACACCACCTACAACATCGCCAAAAATAAAACCAAAGCCGGTAATTTTTCCAGTATCGTAACAGAAGCAGGAACCGTGTGTTTAAAATCCCCTGCACAATCCTCCGAAAAATTTCTCTGTTTACTACAGAGCAAATTTATTCAGGTGAGGACAGCACGGCTGTGGCAAAGGATCGTGATAAATGAAATCTATATTCTTGAAGGTCAATAACTCCCAATCTGCTGCCTCGCAGATTTCCTGCCTTGGAAGCTTTCCCAGGTTTGCCCAGGACATGGCAGGTCTTCAGGAGGAATGAGCCGTACAGGGAACTACTACACAGGATTTGTACGATGTACAACTCATTAATGCGAGAAACAATTTATCTGGAGAGTGTACCAGAGAGAGAGGTCGGTGATAGTGGTAGGAAAATGCTTCTTTTATACTGAAGGCGTAAGAAAAATGTGTAGAGCCAAAATTTAGTTGTGTAGACATGAGCTGCAAATTGTTATGGGAAAGACTTTGAGGATGCAGAAGATCTTTTTAGGGAAAACCTAGCAATTTAATTTATTTTTGAAGCTGGATTGCTTGTTGCCCAGAAAGAACTACAGCATCCAATTTTGGTTTTGAGGTTCTTTAATAGCAGCAGAGGATCTTAGGATATTTCCTAGCTCCTGCTGAGTTAATGGTCAGTAAAAATGAAATAGTCTAGGATAAGAATATTATCATGCAATATCCTGATGCATGAGGGATATTCCAAGCTGTTTAAATTTCAGATAGTGTTAATTAACTATCATGTAAGCTTAACATTTTAAATAAAGTGTTAAACCACAATATTTCTCTATTGCTAGTATCGCATTCTAGATGTGTAAAGTATAGCCATGGTTGGAAACTCCTTAAAAACAACGTGCTATATTCATTTGGAATATGGTCAAACACCTTATCTTTCCTCTCTGAAGACCGTTTCTGTCCTTCACAGCTCTCGGGACGGCCTTACAATCGATGTGGGATACGAGCTGGACACGAGCCTCGCACTGATTTTTGGCGGGCAGGTGAATTTCACCACTGTCTTGTCAGATGGAAGAAAAAGCCATTTGATGCCATCCCATGAGCCACAAAAAACATATTTTAAACCAAAGCATGGCATTTACTGTGTAGGTTCAAACATTTTGTGTTTTGTGGCTCCAGTAAAACAGTGAAAGTTTTTATTTTGGGGGGGAAGGGAGGAGAAGGGGAAGGAACGAGGGGCAGAAATAGATGAGCAGTGTGCATTTATTTACTTTTTCTCCTCAGGACCAACACTTTCAATTTATGAAGGAGCAGTGGAAAACATCTACTGATTTATAGACTGCGGCATCCTCCAGCAAACTTGAAACACGTTGCTGTTTGCACATTTTACCATGCAGGAATAAGAATGCTGCTGCTTCCTTTATGGCTCCAGAGACCACACAAGCCTCTTTAAAAATCATATCTTATCTTTGTCAATGACACCAAGTGTTTCTTGACTTCAGTGGCTCATTAGCATTGACTAACATCAATTGCTCCACACAGGCAAAATTTCACCCCCTTCCCTTGTCACTCTATTACCATCACTATTTTTCGTTCTCGTCCTAAGATACTCTAACCTACCAATTTTCAGTAAAGTCCCTGGATTAAGGGCTTTGTTGAAAACGACAAAGCTTCAGCAAAACACAGAAAGAGCAAACACTTCAGAGCAGTTCAAGAGATAGGTTAGACTGCCGTGATAAGTGTGAGGATAAGGCTTTTAAGGGCAAAAGGCAAGAGAGATGGAGATGAGATGGGGAAAGTGCAAGGCAGTGAAGAATAATAATCTAGGAGAGAAAACTATGTGTATACTAGGGAAACTTGGAAGTAACAACATTTCATTTTGGAAACGAGGAGCTTAGAAGGGTAATGAAAAGTATTACTAATAAGGAATCAAATCCATAAAGCAGAAGAACAGCAAAATGTGGAAGTTGTATCTGAAAATACTAATTTACTAAAGGTGAAAGGTGTACTTCAGTTTTACAGAAGACTGGACCAAAAGGCAAATATAAGTAAAAAAGCAAGCATCTTAAGAATAATATATTAAAAAATAGAAATACAAATGAGGAATCTTAAATGGATCTCAAACTACAAATAACAGGGATATTCATGGCGAAGGCTAGCATTCTGTTCTCAGCCAAAATGAGATGCCCACGCTCCTGCTTACAGTGCAAGCTCACACTCCATATTATTAAATTACAAATTTCTCAGACGCTTCTGGTCTAGAAGTGAGAGGTTCATTCCATTCCAGTCTGTGTATGGAGGATTGTACTTTCCTCTAAATTCATCTCACCACGAATGCTAATATTTCGGGAATAAGCCTCATGGTTGGTCTTCACTTGAAAAGCGAACCGTGCGTTCCCCCTGGGAAATTACTCCACTAAGAGAAACAGCTCCTGAGTTTTGAGAGGCTGAACTAGGCCACTGTTTTTAAAAAAAGTGCCAAATATTTCAAACCCAAGTGTCACGTTTTAGGAAATCCCTCTCCTCCATTTCTTCTACCTAATGTTTCTAACCACATCTACCTCCCCTCTCAAGTCCACCGCTTCCCATCAGGCAGGTTGGAGTGGAAGAGGCACAGTTTCACAACAACTTTAAAACAAAACTCCCGAGCTTCTGTAAAAGCCTGGAAGTAGCTCTACAGCTGTCCAGGCTAAAGTGATCTTCTTTTGATATCTCTTGTTAACTTTATGGGAAGAGAAAGCAAAGTAGTGGGATCAACCCAGAGTGAATCGCCAGGCAGAGACACAGCTGGGCGATTATGGTACACAAAAAGACAAATTGGTTAGTGTGTCAGTACGGTCTTCTAAAAATGCACAGCAAATACTATTTCAGATGTGTTAGTTACTGATCATGAACTGGCATAGTTAAAGTAGCTGCTGGATTACGTTTGCAAACTGCACAGGTAAATGTAAGAAGTTGATTAAACCTAATGTCAGAACATCCCAAATGAGAGGATTACCTTAATTGTACTGCGGAAACCTCAACTTTGAGTTTCCTGACATTTGAAAATTCATGTAAGATGCTCATATTCTCAGCACATACTGATTTATTTTTTTTTTCCTTTTCATTGAACAATACGAAAAGTTAGCACCAACTTGACTGACCAGAAAATGAGACAGGCAGTATCTGTAACTAGGAAAGAGTCCTTTGAAAATTAATCATCTCTTCGCACACACACAAAAATCACGCAGGAGTCCTACAACTTGAGTTATGCAAAGGAACAGGAACAAGTAATCACAGTGGTCCCTTCGGTATCATTGTTCACCAAAAATTCTTCAAATAATGAAGACTCAGTTGTTTAACCTAACCATGAGGGAAAGGGAAAACACAGCATTTTCAGTGCTATTTCTTTTGAAAGCAGGCAGAGCCTCTCCTCGATTCCAGCTGTAAAACCTGAAAAAATTAAGAACGGTTATTCAGTCTAACAACGGTCTCTCAAGCATGGATGCCGTGCTGCGTAATGTGGCGCAGGCTGAAAAGTAAGCAGCAGGTATTTTGCCTGCTGTTTATATAAACAGCTCATTAGCGCTCTCGGCAGAAACGGGTGGGTACAACTTTAAGACAGGCTGTTTTCAACATAGACGGAAAGGACGCTGCAGCTTTTCATTTACAGCTAAAATGCATCGGCCTGGTGCTCAGAACAACAATTCCCACCGCCTGTATACTCGCCCCATAAAAGACTAACTGTGAAGCCATAAAGACGTAAAACAACAAAATAAAAACGCGTGACTTCTGGCTTTTCCTTTCCAGAGAGGAAAGTAGTATTAAAGTATACTTTTAAATCAGCTCTGACCCTAATTCTAACGAGGTTCTCCTTACCCGCTGTTAAAGGGTTAGTAAAAGCTTTCTGGGCAGCTGTGGAAACCAACGCTCTGTGCTGCATCAGCACCCAGGCACCTACACAAGCCCCAGCTCCACGCAGCCTGTTTGGGTAGCCCGGCTCTACCAGCACAGTCTAGAATTACAATTTTTTGTTAGCAACTTCTAAATATTGTGTTAAGATAAGAAATAAAATTTGACCTTTTAAGCAAAGCTTCTATGAAAATATTAATCCGACTCTGCTAAAAACTTACTTGGAACACATGAGCTGGTTGGATAATATTCTAGTTCTACCAAAAAATGACATTTCTGTTTGCACTACATTCATGCAACAAAACAAGTTTATGTTTCTGAAATATTCTGACAAAGAGATTTCTACTTCTATATTTAAACATTTTGTGCATGAAGTATCCAAACTCTGATACATGCCTAGATCTCCCTCTCTACCAAGTTAAATCCCTTCATCTCTGTGGACACGTAACACCAGCACTCTCCCATTCCCACCAGGCAACGGCGAATGCAAATTCATCATGCAATAAAAGATGCAATTGCAATGAAACATGCTCATCTGAGAATATTTCTGCCTTCTGACGATATGAACTACAGACATCCATTCTTTGAGTGAATTATTTTGTGTACACGAGAAAAAACAAGGGCGGCTGAAGGACTGCGTTAGCTATTGTTATTGCCAGAAAAAGCAAGTCTCTCAAATTACACGCATCACTTTTTTATTTTCTCCGTGGCATCATATGCACATATATTTACCCTTAACACAGCAGTTACAAATGTACCATTGATTTCTTTTTACCTTTTTTTTAGTACCATTATCTTTAAGTGCTAGCTGGTGGACTGTTTACATAAAGCACTCCAAATAACTTGGAACAAGTTTAAAGCTCCCTGAAGGTCACTGGATGCAAACTATGTTTACTATTCAACTTACAAGTTAGAGAGAAAAGCAATGAAACATATTTGGATTTGTTTCTTCCCTTTTTACCTTGCCCTTGTCAAAGTAATGGATAATTTCTTGATATAGTTGATCTTTCAACTGTCCTTGAGTAGCAGCCTGGTATCCATCCCGCTGGGTAAGATGTGCTGCACATGCTTCTTCTGACCACTAAATCATACAAGAAAGAGGGGAAAAGTGAAAGCAAACCAAAAGTTATGAAGTATGTCGGTAAAATTTGGCTAAATAAAATACACATTTTTTTATTTAAAGAAATGGTACCACAGCTAATGCACCAACAAAGACTTTTTTTTTGCAGTTGTGTACTTCGATTCCTTGGGCACAAAGGCCATTTATTTGAACGCTGTAATTGGAGGTTAATTACATATATGGGTTGGAAGGAAGCTTCTTGAGGTGGCTTCCTCTCCTCAGCGAGTGTGATGAGACTGACCTTGGCCTGCTGACGGGTACAACCTGCTGGATCTATAATGAACACTTGCAGGTTTATGTTGAGAGAAGCCCTGAAGCCAAGTTACATCAGTACAAACGGAAAGGAGTGCAGGCACAGAAATTACATGGCTAAAATTCACAGAGAACGTCTGGAAGTACGGAAAAGCACAACTAACTTTATACAGCAATCTTGCTCTTGCTCTTCCAGCAAATGCCTAATGGATGAAGAGCAAGGGACAGATACTAAACAAATTTCCTCCTAGACCTGAGAGGACCAAGCAATTCCCTACATCTTTCTCCCTTGCACCTACATATTCTGGTGTCCAGTAAGGGACACACGCAACTGAAACCTCTGGACTCCAGTATTCACATCACCTCTTCTCCATCTCCCTTCTCTCCTCCCACTAATACTCCCTACGACCCACCTGGGGATGAGAAAATACTGGAGCCTTTTCCCTAGACAGGATCCTAATACTACAGCCTGCCCTTCCCTAGCTGTCTGTTTTCATAAGGCTAGCAGGAAACGAATACCTTAGAGACTCGCAAACCTCTATCAAATCAAATCAAATCAAACCAAATCAAATCAAATCACAAACCGCCATTAAATCAAATGAAACTTCTTATAGATTGAAAAAGAGACAGGGACAGGTGCTCCAATAGGACTTGTTGCATTAAGAAACCAATTAAAAAAAAAAAATTATTAAAGAACTGTTCACTTTCTTCTCCGAAAATCCGAGTCACTAAAGGAGGAGGACTGCCCACTGAAATAAAATGGTATAACTTTAGGAAAAGAAGAAAAGATCATGCAGAGATCAGCAACTCACAGATTTATTCACAGAATTACCATTACATCATCCAGTTTTAACTCCTATATCTTATTAAATTTCACCCAATTATTTCTTAATTTGGCCAAAATGTTTGTGTTTGGCTAAAGCTAACTTTGACAACTTTGTACCGCAAAGCTGTTTCTGAGCAACACAAACTTCGTGCAGTCTGCAATGCAATGGCATTTATTTCAGCATTCTAAGAGCCTCCCTCTATCATTTGTTAGTTTAGAACATCTTAATTTTGACTAAATGGGTTAAAAATACAACTAAATTCTCCGTTCTTAAGTGCGCTTCATCAGCTTGCAGTAATCTGGAGAAAACGACGGTGGCTCTCTCTCCACAGAGACAGCCTTCTCGCAAATTTAAAGGTGAAATTCTGAAAAGCTCTCCGTCTTGACCTAAATGTGATCCCATTAAAATCAGTGTGATGCAATATATGCCAATGACGAGTGTCACTGAAAATCCCGTCCTCGAGGTTTGACAGCAAAACTCAGTTGCTTAAAGTTACACACACCGCAACATTGCTGCTTCTCAAGCAATACTGAGCTCCCCCATCCACTGCTGGTAGTAACAGGATACTGTATTAGATAGATCGATACACTTTTATAATGAAATAATTCCAAAATATAACGCAATTATATTTATAAACAAACACCCACTTAGTGAGGAAAACCTGCATCAAATACTACCCTTATACTTGGCATTTTCTATCGATTTCCATTATAAAAAAAGAAAACTGGGTATTTCTTTCCAATAAATTAAAGGAGTATATTAAGATACTCATCTGGTCTCTGAAGACATTCTGTAAGAAAAGACAAAATTGGCTAAACTCTAATTTAAGGTCACACAACGCATATGGACTAACAAGTTCAAGCCGTAACAGGTAGAAGTTGGAATGACATTTTATGGCACGGTTCATTCCATCATTTTTCCAGAAAATGGAGCATGTGTGGAAGGGAATGAATGCTTTCTCTTGCCTAAAAGGTTCATTCATGTGAAGTGTGATGAGCAAGTATTACACAATTTGGCAGTCCTGTATTACGTCCCTTGTGGGAACAAGAGATCTTTATAGCTACAGACTCAGCGAGTTACTCACTCAAACTTCTACCCACAGGCAACCGACTGCACCGCTCTGTGTGACTGAAGGTGTCAGAGCCATCTCCTCACATCTCCACCTCTCTGACACATGTCTCAACAGAGAAAATTTCATTACCGAAGAAGTGACTGTACTCTTCGTGGTGAGGGTGGTGAGGCAGTGGCAGAGGTTGCCCAGAGAAGCTGTGGCTGCCCCATCCCTGGGAGTGTTCAAGGCCAGGTTGGATGGGGCAGTGAGTAACCTGGTCTGGTGGGAGGTGTCCCTGCCCAGGGCAGGGGGGTTGGAACTGGATGAGCTTTAAAGTCCCTTCCAACCAAACCATTCTGTGTTTCTATGACCCAGCAGGCTGTGTCCAACAATTGCCCCTGCTTTTAACAATGAAAAAAGCTATTGCATTTGCACTCCAGATGAATCTTACTGATGTTTTCTTGTGTAATAACCTTCTATTTATTTTGAAATACAGTAAATACATTTCAAAGTGTCTTAACTTAAATTGCACATGTACGCTCTGCATCATATTTAGTCGTCTTATAGCTTGGATACAGTTTACTCGGTTTTGAGGTATGAATAATTCTCAGTGCATCCATTAGAAGTATTTAATTTAACACCTTCCACTCTTCAACTTTTCAAAATAGATATTTTACACTTGCATTTCATTTGAGATTGCTTAGATTAAATCAAAGACTGCTAAGAACAATTCGCTGATTAGAATTAGATAAATTTCCTTTATGAAATGGGGTACCATTAGCATAGCTTCTGTAATACGGAAGGCTTGCAATAATACAGAGGGTTGCAATAATACAGAAGGTTGCAATACCCTTGCCATTGGCATGAGAAATAGATTAAGGGGAAAATGCAGTTCTTGGTTATTCTGTCCCTGACTTTCTGCCTCATACGACCACGGGCGCTACCGTGCTCAAGGGCAGCAGAAAGAGATCCAGGTCTTCCTGGAGAGAGAAGGATTTCACTGTGGGTGGTGAGATGTGAGGCAGAAGAATGGGACTAAAGCAAATGCTTTAGAAAACACTAATTCTTATCAAATTTATTTTTTTACTTTTCCTATTGACTGCTTTTAAAAATCGAAACACAAAACTCCTTGCTAGTAATTTAGTGATGACTAGGCTGTATTAAACATGTGATTTCATGACACAAGTGTCTGCTGTTAAGTGCATCCTTCTATATGATAACACCGGGAACATGGTTGGTACATGCTTCCACATTCGTGACACAATCATGTAAACAAGCCACATGTGAGAGACACCACCACCTATCCAGAAAGTTTCTGGTAAGATTAATGCTTATGAAATGTATATATATTGCAGGTTACATCAAAACATTCCTTGAGGAATACCAATATTGTTACATCTCTTTAAATGTGATATAAACTGTGACATTGCATTAAAATTATTCATCCCTTTTAAAGGCATGAACTTGGAAAGAAGACCATTTGAATCCCTCTCTAATTTTTTGAAATCAAAACTGAATCTATAGATACCCAAGAACACACAAGAACAGTCTGTAGTACTTTGCAAAAAAATTCTGTGGAGAGCTGATTTACTAAAATATGTGTTTAGCTGCTTCCACACATTACATAATATTGATATTTAAAAGAAATTTAAATCACAGCTTTGCAATTTGTAACATGCAGTCTTGACTTGATCACGCTTCCATTCATTTCAGATCAAGATGAGTCAAGCATGCTCTGACGTACACTAACGGCACAGGGTTGCTTTCCTGCATCTATTAATTACATGTGCAAAACATAAAACTGACGTAAGAAGCAGAACACAGTTGTTGATCAGTTTAAAGTGCAGATGTTCTAAGAGTGACAAACAATACTACTATGGGTTACTGCTGACATGATTTTCCAAACTTGCAATGGATTTTGGTGTTTACCTTAAGAAGCTTTGCATGCAGAAGCAACGTGTAGGCAGCTTCCGTATAGTTATCACACTCTTTGTGCAGGTCACACAGCTTGTACAAATACCTGTAAGTAATAAAACCAGTGTTTCTTAAAAAAAGGTTGGTTCTTAAATGTTACTAAATAATTTACTTTGAAGACTACAATGGTTCAATTCAGTCTTCAAACAAATAAATACACATGGGATTATTTAAAGCTCATATTTCTGTGCGCAGACAACCTTTAGGACCATTTGCATTTCCGTTGTGCTCTTTTTCCAATGCATATAAATGACTTGTGATGAGTAATGAATCCAACAGATTTTGTGCAAGAGATACTGCTCTAATTGTTCAGCTACGGAGATAGGTGTAAGTCTTCTTCCTTAACTTCAATATCATCTCGCCTCTGGAAGGGGATGCTCTTTATTTGTTTGCTGTTTTTTTTTAGCGACAATTTAAAAAATCCCCCCAAAACTATTAAAATTGTATTTTGAAAAAGTCAGTGAAAATACAGAACTTTGATATTCATTATGGCACATTATACGCTTTTTAACAGAAATAGGAGATAATTTGGGTGGGGGTTTGACAGTGAGAGACAACTTGTCTTTATAGAGATGCTGAATAGAACAGACCTACGACTCCTAACTTTACATGTTTGTCCATAGTTACCAATCCTGCCTTTTTCTAGATTTTATTTTCTTTTGGCAAACTAATAAAGTACTAATTAAAACCATTTAAACAACAGGAAGAACATTCACAAGTGACAATTCTTCCAGAAAGGTAACAAGCATCTGAGAATGAATTCATGAATACTATTTAGATACCTAAAACAGCATTAAAAACATAAGCCTCATCATTTTAGCACAACAGTCTAGCCAATTTTAAGCCAAAGTACAAATAGAGGACTAGGAACCCTGAGGTTTACAAAAACCACAACCTATTACCATTTTTACTTTGTGTGAAAATAGGTTTTGAAAGGTTCCTAAAAGCTTTAAATTTCAAATAAGTATCAGTCATGATATTATTTAACAGTCCTTTTTACCCCAAGTCAGATATTTTGTAACCTCACCAGGAGGCAAAATTATTTCTTTGCTCAGCTTTCTGTCGATTTATTTCTTTGCTTCACGTGACAACACTCCCGAGTATTTTGGTGTTTGTCATAATATAACTGAAGGATTTGGAGAAGGGGGACAAAAAAAATCTCACGACTCTCATTTCTAATGCTCACTGTTCTCAGTGAAGATAAGCTTTTGAATGTACTTAAGGTTCAGTCAAGGTATGTTTTCTCATTGCTTCTTTTCCTCCAGCCCCCAAGTGACTGCTTAATATGAACTTAATTTTCTCCAATTACCCTATAGTAAGTGAAGCAGAGTTTGTCACTGGTCATGTTTACAAACCTTATGTACATTTCTTCTCTCTCAATCTCCTTGTAGAAATTCTGAAAAACAACATAATTTTGTTACAAAGTCTTTGATTTCACAGTCTGGAATGTATACAGAACATGCTCTGAATTAAAAATTCATAATTGCGTAACATCAACCTCAAAGCCACAAAATGAAATTTGCCTCTAGTGATAGAACACAGGTTATTTAACTAATAAAGTCTAATGCTGTGATGTTTCATGATGTAGTGTATTAGGGCTTATGTCTCATTGCACAGGCTAAGAATTTGCCAGAACAGTACTGCTAGAAATTTGCCTCTGGCATTTGCAAGTCACACATCATCAACCATTTTCAGTTGAAATTTTGTAATACACAAAACCAGAATTTTTAAGTAACAGTTGTTCTATAGATTTAAACCTCCAAACCTTAGCTGAGTAATACATCATCTGCTCTTGACTTCTAATAGTTTCTTTGGAAATAAAAAGTTTGATTAGTGTTATTTATCCGGTTTCATATGCCACACGTTATCACCGCTCTCTTCAGAAATATCTGAATGCCTCCGGTCTTGAGATAAACTAGTTAACACTACAAATATTGTAAACGCAAGATATGATAAATTGGGTGAGATATTAAAGGCATTTCTGAATCTAATTTAAAGTTCGCCTTCAAAAGTTAAAATATATCTAAGAAAACAAAACACAAAGAAATTTCTCCTTCACTGAAATAAAATATATTTCACTGTTAAATTAAACCAGTCTGAGTAGCCACCAGCAGATGCAAAAGACTCTACTGTGTCCAGTTCTGGGCTCCCCAGTTCAAGACAGACTAGCAACTACTGGAGAGAGTCCAGTGGTGGGCAACGAAGGTGATGAGGGGACTGGAGCATCTCCCTGGTGAGGAAAGGCTGAGGGAACTGGGTCTGTTCAGCCTGGAGAAGAGAAGACTGAGAGGGGATCTCATCAAGGCTTATAAATACCTTAAGGGTGGGTGTCAAGGGGATGGGGCCAGACTCTTTTCAGTGGTGCCCAGCGACAGGTTAAGGGGCACCGGGCACAAACTGAAGCTCAGGCAGTTCCACCTGAACGTGAGGAAGAACTTCTGTACCGTGAGGGTGGCCGAGCCCTGGCACAGGCTGCCCAGAGAGGCTGTGGGGTCTCCTTCTCTGGGGAGATTCAAACCCGCCTGGACGTGATCCTGTGCAATGGCTGTAGGTGACCCTGCTGTGGCAGGGGGTTGGACGGGGTGATCTCCAGAGGGCCCTGCCGACCCCCACCAGTCTGGGATTTTGTGAAGCCCAGTACTAATAGATGCATAAGCCCAATACAAAACTGTTCTCTTCAAAGAGAACTGAAGTAGAAGATAGAATCTATGTACTGCAGTTAGAAATGACGGATTATTCAGTGTACATACCATTTCAGACGACGTAACTGCTCACTGGTTTTCAGTTCAATTCAAAAGACAAACTGAACCACATGAAAAATTTCTGTTGCTTTTCTTACTTGTGTTTTGTTTGCTTTTTTAAAGTAGAAGAGGATTCTGACTTCGGTGGATCAATAATGTACAACCATTTTATCCTAATATTGCTGCCAGCTGCTCTGCCCTTCTGATGCAGCTCAAGAAGCAAAATGGGAAGAAGCTTGGACAGCAGGTTGACCCTGACCCACATTACATTTACTCCAGTTCCCTCTCCCCCAAAAAGCAGTCCCTGCTCCTGCCCCATCTTTGAGTGCAGCTTCCCACGCGTGTGGCTCTGCAGAGAACGGGTCGAGGAACTGGTGGGGATGAAAAATTACTGGAGGGGAAGAACGTGAGCTTTCAGCAAGATCCCTCCTCGGATCCGCTCTGCTACGCTGGCGGCACGCTTGCTTTCACCAGGATTGTCAGGGGTCGGAACAAGCAGCTGAGGGAACAGATGGGGCTTTTATTTTTTTTTCTTTAACATCAGCACTGGCTTAAACACATATCAAAACCTCTGACTTAAACTATAGTCAATACAGACAAACTTAATCCTGTGAAAGCCTCTGTATTGTTAAAGTCCCAATTAAGAACTCTTCAAGACCTCAGGTGGGAATTGTGCTGAGTATCAGCCCTGGGTTGGATTTTTGCAAGGCATAAATCACTTCAGGTGCCTGGAGAATGATGAAAAGACTGAGTTGGCCCTGGAGGGCAAATGGGACTTTGAAATCAAGCTATAGTTTTAAATCACGCCTACTGAAAATGAGGAAAGTTCTGCCTTGCGATGCTTTCCTGCATTTCCTACAGACTTCAGCGGCAGGGTTGTGTGTGGATATCTCACAGTGATTTAACTTGACAGCAGTAAATCACCCACAAACTTTATCATCTGCAAATACTTGAAAAATTCAGATGACAAAAATCAGCATCAGGAGATGCTGTTTGAGACACTTAGAGAAAACAATACCAAGCCCCAAAGCTGCCATCGGTCCCCCTGCAGTTGGTATGGTGAGAATTACTAGGAGGAGACTCAGAGTATTCTGACGAAGGAGAAATAAATTCACCTTCCTAAGGAAATCTTCCCAGTTTTATAAATTGTTATCATGTTCTAGAGTGTATAGTGTATGTGATTTTTTGTTTCCTCTCTTGCTTGGTGCAAACTGGCAGGCTTTTCTAACTCAAATTCTGCTCAAGAGGACGCTACGACTTCTCTGCGGGCAACCTGACGGCACTTGCGACATCAACAGTTGGTGACAACTCTCCAAATTCCTCCTCTTTTCCCATTTCCTAATCATTCTGATGTCTTTTGATGTGCATAGAGAGGAAAAACAAACTAAAAATAAAATTCTCATTTCTGATTTGATGTCTCTATCTTCTCTCCGGTTCTAATGGGCACCGTTTCATGTATAGCTTATGCGATAGTGTGGCATAAAGCCTGCACTGCACAAACTGAGGACATCTGCATTACTTCCAAGTGCTAAAGCTACAAACTATTTACTCAGATTTTTCCAAACCAGCCTGAATAAAATCTATCAGCCGCATCACATAAACAATAAACATTCTGTGCCCCACATATTTAAGCGAAACAAAAGCTTTGATAATGATATTGGGATGAAAGCTCTGAATCCTCAGAGGCTAACAGTTTAATATTGAGTCCTATTGGAAAAATGAAATCTAGCTAGTACTAGGTTTGCGGGTCTCTCAAGCTTATTTTGACGTTTTTCCATATGCGCTGATTTTGTGCTAGTAAAATCTCGTACTCTTAATGCTTCCACTGAAGAGCATGATGTGTGTGCTATGGGGACAACTTCTACTGCTTCCAACTCTAGCCTAAATGGACAAACTTTTGTAATACAGAGTAGGTACTCCAGAATTCTTGGAACTAAGAGGAGGAAATTTCACGTCAGTAAGGAAAATAACCTGAGCTTTTTTCTGCTGCAAATGAAACAGTAACACTCAAATTTCTTCAAAATTTTGAATACAGAAGCTGAGCAGTAAGTAGAATACAAATGGGATTGCAAAGGTATGAAAATTTCGGTAGTGAACTGCATATTACTCCAACGTTCTGTATGTCAAAGTGTTTTTCTGCATAAAGGTGTTCATACAGCAATTGTACATGTCAATGAACAGCCCTCAAAGATCAGGCCCTGAATCATTTATTCTTAAATCTTTCCTTAGAATCAATTAAAGAAGAATAACCCATGTTTTCATAGATTCACCTTCATTAAAAAAAACCTGAACGTATTTCAAACTTTCATAAGAATCCCAACGCATACTCTGTTTTACATAAACCTTTTGTTAAAGGTGTGAAATTAAGAATGCAGTAGCCATTTCAGGCTGGTGACTTCTTTTTGCTTACCAGCACATTGACAGTACAGCTCATGCGGTTCTCCTTGTTCTCGTCATGCATTATGGTCCTGTAGTCCAACAACCTCTCCATTAAGCGGACAACAAGTTTCACGAAAGTTTCTCCACTCTTCGCAAGGTATTTGTGTTTTCGGCAGTGCTCCAAGAGACTGAAAAACCAATTACATCGCCTTGTTAATCACATGCAGAAAAAACCTTGACTCAGGTGCAATTTTAAATATTGTGCATCATTAACAAATTTTAATTATTTCTGGGCTACAAAGTTCATTGTAGTCTAATTGCTCTCTCTCCTGACTTTACTGTGACATAAATCTCGCCGCTGATCAACACTTACATTTTGTCAAATAACACTTTGTACTGTTCATCTCCTCTGCCTCCTTCCACTTCATGATCCAGTTTCGTGATGATCTCATTTTCAAACTATAATTAAACAAAGCAAGCATAAATAATCAGATGGCAAATATTTCACTTTATTACTGTAGCCTCAATGGTTCACAGATTGGTTGGGTATCTCGGTGAGATGTTTAGCCACTATTTTAAAGCTTGATTGACTTTTAGAGTTTGCAGTCTCTGGTATTAGACTATCCACGATGATCTCCTGCCCTACAAGGACTTTTTTTGTTGAAGAAATCATCGGTCATGTTGTTAAATGAAGTGTAAATATTTGCGTTATGAAAAACTAAACAAGGAGATTAATGACAAGAATGAAGGCGGGGAAAAAGAAGACACAAAGCCAGGCACAGAATGTCCCCTGCAATGATGGTAATAGTAACAAAAGTAAAGTTGAAAATTGTTGAAAGGTCTATAGGGAGGAGAGATATATATACATATACGCACATAGAAAGACAGATATATATATATAAAAAACCCCTAAGGCTGGATAAGTCAGCCAGATGCACACCCTAGCATCACTAACATCCCTTTTTAGCCTACAGATACTGACTCACAGTGGGACACAACTTGGTAAAACCGTTAGTAAGTCACTGCAGAGGGGAAGTTGTTTCAAACAACTTAAGAGTAATATTATTATTTGGGCAATAACAAAAGAATGTAAAGTTAAGTGGGCACTAGAATATATTTTTAATGCAAACTGGATAATTCACTGGATTTTTAATGATTACAGAGGGTTTTACCCGTTACTGCTATATTCCCTAGGGCCCAGGTTAGGAACGAATGCAAACTGTTAACGGAGGAAGGCTCACTGTAGACCTGCTGCCACGTAACGAATCCGTCTATAGTCATCTAATTCCCAAGTCTTCCTTAAATAAGCACAGACATCCACACCATTAGCGACACAACCTATTGTCAAGAGGCCTCAGCAGAAGAGCCCGGGTGAGAAGGGAGCCCGTGGCAGGGGAGGGGGAGCCCTTAGTCAGAGGGGGAGTTTATTGACAGAACAATTGCCTTCAAGTTTTTTCACTGTCGCTTGCGTAAAGCAGTCTTGAACTATTCTGAGGAGAAGCAAAGGGCCACCTGCACAAGAACAAAGCGTACTAACATTTTGTAAATGTCAAGAGACGTATTTGGCATCTGCAGTTAATATTAACGGCATATAACGTACAAATGACAAAAGAACGGACTGTCTGCAGCTTGATACACTTCCAGACCGAGGACACACTTCCACAACTGCCGGGCCCAGCAGCAGCCTGCGGACCCACTCTTGCACCTCTGTTCGAGCCACGAGCTTTCCTTCCCACCTGCCCACCTCTAAGCTGTACCATAACATAACAGCATTTCTTATTCTTTATAAATTATTAGGGACAACAGTATCAGCTCCTCTGTTACCGCCACCAAACACTGCCCGATCAGCAGAGGGGCTCTCTGTACCTGGAGAAGGCAGCCTTTTGCTGAAAGCTTGTCAGCAAAATTAGATTTTTCTTTCACCGGGAACAACTGCAAGGAGGCAACAAGGACAACCTCAAAAAGCGTTGCAGTAGAGGTCATGTGCTAAAGATGTAGCTGATATCTATGTTGAAAGGCAAAAATCAAAATCTATGTTCCAGGAAGAAAAAAGTCCCTGCAGAGAGCTCTGCCAGCCCAGCAGCCTCTGCCAAGGGCTGGTAACGGGCACCCGGGCAATGGGACCACCACCCCACAGCACCCCAGACACCGGTGCAGAGGGGGAGAGCTCGGCCGTGGTCCCACCTCTGTTGTGCCAGGCAGGCTGACCCACAAGTAGGTGCCGTCTGTCGGCACCCCACCGGGGCTGCTGCCCCGGTCACCGCACCGCCGCTCGGCGCGGCAACCCAGGGCCAGGAGGGACAACGGGGGACAGGGATTTTCTACACGGTCAGTCCCATTGGGGAGCTGGGGAAGACAAGTTGTTATCTCCGGCCAGCAGCAAGGCTCAGATTGGTTTAGTTAGGAAGAGAAACTGGATTTTTTTTTTTTTTTTTAGTCCACACTGTGAAATTCTGCTGGCATATTTATTTCAGCGAGGAGTGTGAGATCACCCTTGCCAACAGACTTAGGTCATGATGAAACTCTGACGATAACAGAACGCTTTTCACCACCTTAATTTATATCACTTTGAGGAGGCGTAGCAGCTACATCCACCACTGATCTCTTTCTGCCAACGTACGCTGCATTTTAAGCTCTGCCCACATAGTCCCACCTCGGCCAACAGTAGTTATCATAACTCCTCTACCACGTACCAAACAGGCATGCCCTTACTTCTGCCACAATCCCTCTCTCCTGAAATAACTGCTGCATGTGTGGGGCAAGGTAAATCTGGGCAGAACAAGAGAAAAACCTGCAGCAAGTAAGGGTGAGGAGAAGCACCCCAGCCATCCCACAGCTGGAGGCACCTGCCCGCTCTCCCGGAAGGTTCGTTTCTGCTGAAGCCCACAGCAGCTGTGAACATACGCATGCTGGCCAAGTTGAACCTGCGTATGAAATGTGGCCATGGACTGTAGAGAATTTCCTGCTTTGCTACGAAAAATCCTTTTTAGGGAGAAATATGCATTGGTATGAAGGATTTGCTTGATAAATTGTGACAATGCCAAAATACTGCTCTTCGTTAGGACAACTCAATCTCTGAATATCTTAACACGCTCAACAACAGTAACATAACAATCCACAGTCAGATCCGGGACACTGGTTTTGTCTCCCTTTCCAAGTCTCCGTGTTCTTCTCAGCATTAACTGCAGTAACGTTCACATCATTTCCTACCTTCGTGTGCAACCCCAGACTTTTTGTCCTCTGCATTTGAGTTGGGAAATTTATTTTTATACACTACCTGGCAGCCCACCAGAACTGTGTTACAAACAGAGAAAAAAAATCTCTGCTCTGAGCTCAGTGACTACAAGCTATCATGACAAGTAACGGCAGTAAAAGTCCTGCTCACCTACCGCTCAGAGCAAATTCAGGGTACAGTCTAACAACACGCACAAGTCAATCGAACTGTGAGCTGTCAGGAAACCTGAACGACAGATTGTATCATGCAAGCAGCAATAAAATCAACCAAGTATCCAAACAACAGATATTCCATCTTAAAACAATTTTTATTATTATGCGTGACTGTTTTAAAGATGAAACCTCAAACCTCAGATTAAAACGTTTCAAAGGTGCTCTTCTGTTCCCCAAATGACCCACAGAATCATAGAAACACTAACTGGAAGAGACCTCAAAGGTCATTTTGTCCAGCCTCCCAGGTGATGCAGGATTATTGCCAACACGAGATCAGGCCATCTGTGACTTGCTTAGCCAAGTACTGAACATCTCCACGGATGGATGATTACACAGCCTCTTTGGGTAACCTGTTCCACGCCCTCACTACTTTCCTTGTGAAGAAATGAATGAAAAGTGAAGTGAAATAAGGTTTTTAATACAATGAATCCATTATTCAAAAAATGACAGCAAAATGCGAAAAGGAAGAATAATGCAATCCACCCCCTCTAAGAAGCAAACACAAGCTGAAACATGTTCCCATAGTACAAGGACGTGTCAAGTAAAACACTGAAGCAACACAATGATGAAACAGAGAAGTCACAAAATTCATGTTCTCTAATGAGACCAGAAAGAAATTGACTTTCCATACCCATGTGAAAAATGACACTTGCTGCCAGCATGAGCCCTTTAGGTGATGTATTTTTTAGCAAGAGATTACTCAGATGAAGAAGGGCAATCACACTTGTCATACAGGATCTTGAGTATCTTCCTGATACCAATTTTACTTAAATTTCTGTAAATCTAGGCTTTGTAGGGCCATCTCCCTAACAGCCCTCTTGGGTTGAACAGAGTTAGACTTATGGCATTTCTGGGGCTTTAAGGACTATTAACAATATCTTTGATCTTCAATCATTCTTGATACTTCACAAGGAATCGATATGACGCAGATCATCCAAGCCAGATGACTAAATGTTATTTAACATAGTTGAAATTCCTTCTGCTGTCTTTCCACGGAAGAATGTTTCATCAGCACAAGTTGAGGTTTACGGAGCTATTGACTTCCATGATGGGAGTAAGAACGTGGCCCTGGAGTCTCACAAGCTAATGGCTCTGGGATACTGCATCTGGCATCTGTTGAGAAAGTCTCAATTTTTCCTTTTCTTTTTTTTTTTATTTTTAAATGCATACAATAGCACAAAGTAGGCCTGCAATTATAGTGATGGAATTTACTCTCAAGTGAAGAAGCGTCACATTTTCAATGTTTCCGTCACAGCCAGCGACACTCGCTGAGGCTCTTTCTGGAGGCTTAGGAGGTATATCTGGCATCAGTGAGGTAGATTCATATCCTTCTGCTGACAGTGAAAGCTTGAGGGGTGATGTTAGGAAGATTACAGGAAATTATTATCAACTTTTCCTTGCAGTTGATCAAGATCTCAGCTTCTCTTTAGGATGTGTGTTTGAACTTGAACAAAGAGTATATCCACTACTTTATCTGTCTGTTACAATCTCCCATCCGGAGAAACTAAATCAATGCAAGCTATCCAGCGTCTTCAAGTGTCAGCTCAACTAATCGCTTTTGGTTTTAGGTTTACCTAAAGTGTGGTCAGGCTATGTTTGTAGCACTGACTGACAATCTAATCTAGCTGTAGATGAGGAGGACTTTCAATCCTCCAAGCTGCTATAAATTTGTTTTGATATGGGATAATAATGAATTTGCCATATAAAATTCAAGTGAAAGATAACACCACTAGAAATTAGTCCCAATGCAGACATAGCACACAAGTACTGTAAAACTTTGTTCAAAGGCTGCTATGAAAGTTGGTGGTAATTCCCAATAGTTTCTTCTGTTCTCTTTCTTACTTTTTCACGGCATTCTGGTCGGCAAATAGATCTGGCAGCCATTTAAGATTAGGTGATTTTGGAGATCTCTAGACTTACTGCATTACCTCTCTCCCTTGCTTTTCAGGTGGGGTGAGGAAGGAATATCGATATTCTCCAAAAGGCCAGAAAACAAGAAAAACTTACACATTTACACTTCAACCGTAGATAACTAAAAATGTTACTTCTTGAAATTCATCTGTTGTGGGGCATGACTTACTTGAATTTGCACGTTCAGTGGGATTACAGAGGAGAATCATCACAGAAACTTGGACAAGTCATTAACTTGTGTTCTGTTTGCAAATTTACAGTACAGGGAAAGGGAGGTTAACATAGGGCTCAGAAGTGGTAAAAAGACTTAATATGGAATTATAGGTTCTAAAAGTCAAGAGAGATTCAGATACACTAGGTACTCCTCATTAAGGAGAATTATATCAATTTGAAATTCATTGATAACTGACAAGAAATTACACTGCAAATAAAAATGCTTGTATGACCATCTTGATGATACTGAGATTTATTGTTAAATGTCAGAAATTAATTAAAAAGTTTCTTCTTTATTTCTTCTGGTCTTTCCTCATTTAATTCTCCTTACAACAGAATGCTAGCTAGGGGTACTTTAGCTGCACCCATGGTTTTATTCTAGTAATCATATGTATTATCATTCATTATGTGTTTCTATATGATTTTGTGCTATGCATTCATTTATTATGAATTTCTATATCATTCTGCATTATGCATTCATTGCTTATGCATTCATTGCTTATGCATTTCTATATAATTTTTCTTTCTTTTCGGCTATGGTTCCATTAAGATAAGCGTCATTACAATTTGCAGAAAGCGGGACAGATGTGTTGTTGTGTTTTTGGGGCTCCTTCCTCAAATCATTGCTTTTACACAACTCCTTACTCCAACGGCATAAGAACACATGCTGGAGCTTGTATGCCTGTATCAGTGATGGTAACACCACCAGACACTAATCACTCTCCTTAGTAATGCAGTTCCATCTGAAAACTAGACTTATGGGACTTCTAATTTCTTCTTGCTCACTACTGCAAAGTGGGGGGTACACCTCTCAGATTTTACTTTGAAGGATACGGGTCCTTCTTTCCTTCCTACTCAATGAGAAATGTAATTATGTTGGAGAAGACAGGCTGGGGTAGTGCTCCTGATTCAATCCCTTACCTTATTTTGTTAATAGTTTTTTTTGGCTCTTAGAGTAAGCTACTTCTATGAACTAATTTTTACCAGATCAGGTAAAAGAAATCATATTATGATGCAGTGCCATGAGATAGGGAGAACCTACCCAGTATCTCCCCCTGCCTCCTCCCGCTTCCTCCATGCTCTGTTCTGTACCAGTTCCTGCACTGGCACCTCTCCCTGAAGGCGTTCAACTCAAAACAAGCAGAACATTACATCAGCAATGACACAGGTCCAGAAAAGGTAAGTTATAAGTTTGGGGTATGCAAATAAACATGAAACGGAGCTAGAGCAAGTGATAGCTGGGAGGACCAGGTAGCAAAATCAAGAGGTTGCGGCTTTTTATGCTCTGAATTCCACATTTCAGCTGAATGATTGTTTCATGATGAACCTTCTCTCCTGCTGTCACCACGGGATCCATCACATTCACCTGACCAGGCCTTGAACAACCAAACCAATTCTCTTTCATCGCTCCGGTGGATCTGACATATTCCCTTTGATCTGAAGGGTTCACTAGTAAAACTGGCAAAGGGAAAAAAGCAGAGTGGAGAAGGAGGCATTTTCTTCTATAGGGAAGCTTCGGTCCCACACTGACTTTAGTATCGGATTCATGCTTTGAGGTACAGGCTACTTTGAAGACTTATATAGGCTTCAAAGCATCTTAAGAGGGAGAGGACAAAAATGGGCAACTCCAGCTTTTAATTCAGTCAGCCTTTAATTTAGTTCCGTAAAAACGAGAGGAATTTATCTTCTGTTTTTTCTCAGGGCTATACATACTGGAAGAACAAAAAAACCCATTCTGTCTGTTACTGGTTTTACTAGGCAAACCAATTCATCCTGGGATTAAAACTGCCACGGGGAAAGCTGTCTGTTTATAAGGCAAGCTATCACAGCATTGAAGTTCTGCAAAAAATTTAAATTCCTCCCCCACAAATCATGAGGTTTACACATCTGCTGGAGAAGTGGAGCCAATCTAAACCCTTGTTGATGTGACTAATAAGGTTAGATAATTGGATTTCTGGCAGATTAGTTTAACGGCAGCCAAGTATTCAATTTTGAAGTTCTCCTTGAAAGCAGTGCTGGACAATAATAATTGGTAGTTGCATATAGATGACATAATGCAGTACATTACACTGACACATTAAGTATGGAAGCTTGCCTAGGTACTGGTGATATTTAAATTATTTTACATCTATTTCTACCACTTAAACACAAAAGAGACAAAAAAGATGAACTGGGAAGCTACAGGCCAGGCAGACGCACTTCAGTTCCTGAGGAAACCATGGAGAAAACCCTCATGGAAGCTATTTCCAGGTACATGAAGGGCGAGAAGGTGACTGGGAAAAGCCAGTATGGATTTACCAAGGGTAAATCACATCTGACCAACTCGACTGCCTTCTGTGATGAAACTACCCGCTTAGCGGATGAAGAGCTGTGGTTGTCTTGATCTTAGCAATGTGTTTGATACAGTTTCCCAAAGCACACTTGTCGACAGGTTGGTAAGACATGGACTGGACAGACAGACTATGAGATAGGTGAAAAAAGTGGCTGATCTCAAAGCGTGGTGGTTTACTGACTCTGACAGTCTGAAAGACAGCCAAGAAGAAATTGTGTAATACTTAAGGAAGGGAAAGTCCTTAAGAAGTCCTGAATCTGGGATGGCACAGTTGCAAGCAGCAGTACAAGATGCTCTGCTGGAAAAGATCTGGTGGATAGTAAGCTGAACATGAAGAAGCAGTGTACCCCTTCAACAGAGGCAAAATGTGTCCTTCATTGCACCAACAAGAGTACAGCTAGAGCATCAACAGGATTATTCCACTTGTTGCGCCATGGCTGGAATACTGCCTCCAGCTTTGGTTCCCCCAGCTCAAGAGAGACATTGAGAAATTGGTGATGGCCTAATGGAGGGCCACCAAGATGAGCAGAATGTTGGAGAACCTGGCCTGAAGAATGGTTGAAGGAATTGGGTTCTTTCAGTCTACAGAAAAGCAGACTCAAGCCTTCCAACACCTAGAAGGTACAGAGGAGACAGAGTTACTCTGTTTACAAGGCTGCACGGTGACAAAACAAGCAGCACCAGGCACCAGTTGATTCAGGGAATTCCATCCGGATATAAGAAGAAAAGTCTTCAACATTGGAAGAGGTCACCCAGAGAAGTGCTGAAACCTCCCTCACCAGAAATACTCAATATTGAGCTTCAGATGGCCCTGGATAACCCAACCTAAGGCCCAGCTTGGACCAGATTACTTCCAGAGGTCCCATCCAACCTAGATTTTTCTGTAACTCTTTGCTTTTTACAAGCTGTGATCTTCATTCCCCAAAGACCAGTCTAGATACTCAGCAAACTATATAACTACATTATCTGCAAAACTGTAAATGGACAGATTGATTATTCCCCGTTAGATGTCCAAACGCACTGAAAAAAGGTTATATCAGTGCTATGTCCATAAAAAAAGAAGCTCTACTGACACAAGAAATCTATGTTGAGTACCTACAATCCAAGACATCTCTGACTTAAGCATGAGGCATTTTTCTTCTCAAAAGGCAAAAAGAATTTGTGTGAAATATTTAAGACATTCATTTATTAAAATCACCCAACTATTCCACACAAAGCTGGTTTCCTTCTGTCAAGAAAATATAGGGCCATAAATTTAGCTATAAAGTTACCCTCGGATTTTTCATGATCCATATAATTGTACAAATAAAAAATGACAAGCAACAAAAGAGAGCATCTGACAGAAAACAGTTTAAATGGCATCCCAGTGAGCACTTCAATCTTTACAGTATCACTGGAGTCAAACATAAGAAAAAATGATTATGCAGTAATTGGATGGATCCAAAATACAGTTCACAACCTTTCCACACACCATCCAGCACAAAACAAATCAAAGTAATAAAGCTGATGTCATTTCCCTTGCTTAATTCTCTCCACGCAGATATTCGTTTACTCTGGCTACAGATTTATTAAGAGCTGGTGATGAATAATAGTTCACGAAAAAGTATGGAAAAGGATAAGATTTTTCATCCAAGAAAGAAAACTGCCAATATAAAGGGAAAAAAGTAAACAACATACGTCAAACTTCATTGCAAAATTCGCAAGGTCATATCCTGAACTGACAGAAATTTCAGTGTAAAGGAGCTACACTGGCTTATACCATAACACCACCTGGCCTAACTCGTCTTATACTCAATCCGTAAGGCAAAGTTTCAAGGGAAAGAAGGTCAAATGAATAATGTCAGGAAACTTTCCTTCACTCCACTTGTCTCTCAGAAGTTGATGCTATCAGGATAAGATTTTGTGCGCTTATACAAGGACTTCCCTCAGCATGTTAAAATAAAATAGAATAAAAATGCTACATCAGTATTTTAGATTTTGCAGTGCCTGTATAGCATAAAGAAATACTGACACTGGATAGCTTTTTTTCCTCTTCAAAACCCATAAAATGGTAAAGTATCAAAATTATAAGATACTAGAGATGATAAATTCTTATGGGTTATAGTTTCTTTTGCCACATTATCAGGCTTCCTTTATGTCCAATTTAACTGAGAAGCAGACTCCTTTTCTGAGTCACAGTGAAAATTTACGACACCTGTCTTTGCTCTCCTTTTGTAGCATAACGGAAGGTCTCATTTACTTCATGCAAATTTTTCTTTCAATAAGAATTTAAAACTGACAGATGAAAACTCTATAGCCACTCATGACTTACAGAAAATAAGCAAATCCATAATTATATTATTCTTTAGAAAAATAAGGAATAACAAAAATTGTTATGCATTGTCAAAGAGTAACTAAATCTTTCTTAGAAACTTTAAACATCTGTAGCTTACTGCTTACCATCTGGAAGCTTCTAGTAGAATGAAATTCACACTGCATCATATCAAAGAAGATTGGGATTGTAGCTTTCCGAAGTTCCGTCTCGGGGATAAGCGTCATTTCTAAGATAGGTCCCACCATTTCTGGGATGAACTTGATTTTATGCTGACCTTTAAGAGAAAAGATGCATTTCAGAGTTAACGAACAGCCACTGACTTTGATAGAAGATAATTGTTATAAAAGCTGTATCAATAAATTCTCATACAGCGTAAGAAAGTATTTTTCAAGATCTGACTCTATTGAAATACATACGATTATTTATGCCATAAAAGGGGAAGGATGTGGTATGTATAAACCCAAATCAACAACAGTTGTTGAATCAGTAGTCAAACTGGAACTTGCCACGAAGAACCCATATTTGCACACTCGTATTAAGTTTCAAGGCTTTTTTTTTGCAATACAACTTACGGTTGGCAGAGAAGGAGGCTAAAAGGCACATCACTTGGATTAACTTATTTAGACTTCTGTATCTTCCGCAGCGTACAAAATGTTCTTTGTGTCAGTCTATCAAAGTGTCACCACGAGTGCATAGTTACACAGCCTCGAGACATGAAACTACATCTTACCAAGCCGACAATATGTCTTCTTTCTTCGAAGGCTGATCTGACTGGCAAACTTTATTTCACATTTATCTTCCCAAGAGAAAACTGCATCTCCCCCAACCCTCCCTGCTACGCTCTCCACACGTGGAACAGAAATTAAACCTTAACAGGAACACGGCACCTAATACATATTGGACTAGTTCAAAACATCTAGTTACTGTTAATATTATTAGCTAAAGGGTAGAGAACGCAGATCATACATCCTGCAAACTATCTGTTCAACAACTCCATGGAAAGATGTTGGTGTAGAGCACTGTAGCACAGCACCGGAGAGCTCCAGGCAGACGACTTGATGGCAGAAGTTTAGAAAATACAAATACATTCTTTTCTCAGCAACAGGCTGGGACTCATTTGAACCTCACTACACAACCGGTGACGTTCCTCACAAATGCAAGGTTAATGGATGTACGCAATCAGGCTCATACACTGTTCGTGCATCCACTGCTGTGGTTCAGACCAGGCTTCTTCAGAGCCGAGCTAATTTAAGGAGCCCTCAGCCTTCTCCATCTTCACTCCTGCTTCCCATTGCAGTTACCAGTGGTGTACGACAGACACCGATTTTAACTCATTTATATTCCACTGCACTACACCGGTATGGCAGTAACCGTGGAAATCTTTAATTAGTAGTTTTACTTTTGACCAGAACCAACATAAATCTCAACAAACGTAATCAAGAAGAAATTCTTCACCAACAAAACATGCTACTTTTTTTAGCAGATATAATTTAAGTTACTTGATTTGCCAGACTTCAGAATCCCATTAGCATTAGCAATCCTATTAGGGCAAATTAATACTTAACTAAAACTGCTACTTTGTATGATGCTGCAATGCTGGTTGATGGTGAGGAATAACAAGTGAGAGGCGTAAAGCTTTCCTCTGTCTCTCTTACAAGTATTATTACATTCGGCCTCTCAGGTGACAGCTTTCTTGTACCATGCCTGAAAAGTGTCAGAGTCAGTATTTCAGAAAACAAATAAGAGTGACAAAAGTTATTCGTCAGGCACAAATTCAATGTCACGAAGTTCTCCGTGCGCCAAGGTGGGTTCTTCCATTGCTTCAAGCACAGGGATTCCCTCAGAAAAATAACTAACATCTTTCAAACTTTAGAGATGCAAAGGCAGAATTCACAAAAGAAGATTTTTTTTTAAATCCTTAATCCCCTTTCCTCTTCTCTGGGGGCATATAAACTTCTTGCTCAAAAAAGGAGTCACTGAAGAGCAGACCTGACCTCCCAAGGTGCTCACCGTCACCTCCACCAAGGCGAATGGGAGCCAAAGGTGGACACAGGACTTGCTCCCGTCTCTGCAGGATGCGGCCAGCAGCACCCAGCCCCACCGCCCGTGAGGCTGCACCGCATGCACTCGGCCTTCTCGCCGGTCACCGACGGTTTGTATTTATTAGATGCTGCCTTGCAGGTGATCAGCAACAGAGTTTTTAAATCAAAGAGGACAGAGAGCTTCTCCAAATATGAAATTCAGAAGGACTTGGGGGGAATAGAAACATGCGAGTTATTAGCAGAAAGTATTAAAATCACTTGTACATTGTACTGCGAAACAATCCATCATCTGCCGTTCGAAACCCACTTAGCTCTTCATGCCTTCTGGGGGCTCCGTGGGTGGCTCCCACCAGAGTTTACACAGCTCGGTTGCAGAGAAAAAACAAGGGGAACGACCTATCGGGGCGGCACGGCCGGTGCTGCCTGCTTTGGATGCGACGCACTCCCCCGGGCGACAGAGCCCTTCCTGCTGGGGGCAGCTCTGCCGGGGCCGCGGCAGGCAGGAGCAGGGGCCAGCAGCGACCAGGGAAGGCCAGGCAGCACAAATTAAAACATTAAGCCACCCTGATCGGTTTTCTTCATCCAGCACGCACGAGGAGTAACACGGAGAAAGGGTTTGTCCATCAACTGGGTGATACGGGAGAGGGTTGAGAGCCCTGCGTGACATCCTTCTGACGCTACGGCACACGTCGGTGATGTGATGACGCACACGTCCGTGTTTGCTACGATGATGTGATCCAGCGCGATGTTGTGCCACAAAAGAAAGCACGAGAGCAAAACATGAAAGGAAACGATCTTCCTCTGGCACTCAGAGCATCCATCCCAGCTGCCTGTCATAGGTAGCGCTTTCGGATAAACAACCCGACAATGAATTCGCCTTTTTTTTCTTATTTTTTCCCTGTGAGTGTGGGAACTCCCACGCAGGGACTCAAAATGTGACAAGTCTGGAAGAAAATTGAGGATTCTCTTCTGAAAATCAAATTGTGCAGTCACTTTAAGAACCACATGCAAAAGAAGTATCCTTCTGAACACGCAAAATCTTCGCCTTGCAGTGGCTTCTGCCTTGCCATGAGACGTGCTCCTACAGACTGCTCACGCAACGGGAACAGACCTCATTACGCGAACCAAATCCAAGGCGCTTTCTTTATTGGATGCTGTCTGATTTTCACTTCCCAGGTTCTTCTAATTTAAATTTTGGCCACAAAAAACCCTGAATAATTTGCCAGCAACCTCACCTCGCACTTGGGTTGGCTCCGAACATGCATGACTAATTCAGAGAGTGTTATCTGTAATGACTTCTATTTATATAACGCTCAAAGTTCAGGTCTATTTTTAACCCTGGCTTTCCCTCCAACGACATTAACGTCTCTGTCAAGACACCTTTTCTGACGTCAAGCACCGGGAGGGAAGGGCCGGGCCAGTGGGCAGCTCGCTGGAGGACAGCAGTAGCAGCAACCATTTCACTTCATCTTCAGGAATTCTACTTTCCCATCTCCCTCTAGCTGGTTCAGATGTCAACAATAAAAGCAATGTTTTCTGAGCTGGTTTTCCTTGACCAACTTTACCTCAAGGATATTATTTTAAACGTCATTACAACCTCTTTAACATAGAACTGCTGAAACCATTAACCACTGAAAACTGGTACACACGACCCACTGTCAAACTGTGTTTTGTATACACTAAATTGCATCACGTAACGCTTTTAAGCGCGTGTTGTTCGAGTTCCTACATTTTCAAGACAGAGGCCACGGCTTGCTTTATGCTTCTCTGATACTTACCGTCTCACCAAGGTCTAAGGAGCCCCGGTTCCAACAAAATAGTTCAGGTTGTGATACAGAAAGAAAAAAGCCTATAAAGAGTAATATACACCGTTTTGGTGCATGCAAGAAAAGAAAAGCCTTGCAGCGCTTTCCGAAAGGCAATGCAGCGGGAGCTCTGCACACTGGGACTAGGTTCCCCGAAGCCATCCTTATTGCTGCTGCACTCAAATCTAAAGCCTTCATGATCAAATCTAGCAGGGTACCAAACAGGAGAGCTACAACTAGGATTTAAATAGAAAATCTGTCAGGCTGGATCTCTCGCACACGGTTCACTCTTTAAAACAAAAATCTCATTCTTAAATTACAGGTATTTAAAGTGCGCACACAGTTAGCTAGTGTTGCTCTCCACTATACATGCTCTTTTTTTTATTATCCTACTTAGAAAGGTAGGAAGGTATGAATATTGCAGCCACCACTGTGTCAGAAACACACAGACGAGAAAAAACTTCTAGAATTTGTATTTTACTATTTAATTTCAGAAAATAAATTATACTCTTAAAAGTGCATTATAGCTAGATGACTGTCTTGGTCCCAACTGGGGAGTTTTAACTCAGCAGGCATTATATGTTAATCATGGTATTTATGAACGAAAACTGATGAGACAAAATATTAATTTTTGAGGCTTATCCATAGCCTTTAATACATAAATCAAAAGTCAAGGTTGTTTGGCTTCATCATCTCTTATGCACAATGGCATAGTCATAAAAATTATATGCTCAAGCATATAATAGCATTATAGCTTTTCACTTCTGATTTTGTTTCTGAACACATACATTAATAATTTGACTAATGTAGTGCAACTTCTAAGACAAAAGTGTCAAACATCCCCCAGTCAATTCCTCTGCCATGGTAAGTCAGAATTCTTTCCTAATTGATGCAGTGACATACATGAGATTGGTGAAATGCCAGAAATTCAACATGATCAGCACGGACTATCTGTATTACAAAGATGATGAGAAAAAGCAAGCTGCTCATTATGAGAGGTACAAAGGCTGCCTTCGATTGGGGTCCTGCCTCCGATTTACCTTTCTCTTGCAGCTTTTGTTGGAAAGAGCAGCAATTTACTGACTCGCTCAACATGTGAGCTGTCGGCATTAATGATCCCAGGCACTTACAGAATCATAGACATTTGAGCTAGAGGAGGTCACGGAGTCGGAGTCATCTACCTGGATAATCTTGGTTTATAAAAACTCTACTAAAAATAAAAGGCTTTCATGACAGCACAGAAAGAAATATTGAAGAAAACACCACACCTCATGTCAATCAATTCACAAAACTCCAGGGGAAATTATTATCACCTCCCTGTTAATGGTGAAAAACTGAACCCTAGAGCAACTAAAGAACTTGTTCAAGAGCAGCCAGTGTCAGCAGTAGTAGTAAAAAGCACAACGCACTCCACAGTCTCCAGCCTGAATAAAATAACCTCATGTAAGAACAGTCAGAGGTATAACTATGTGTGCAAACTTTTCTACTTTCAGTCCAGTAAATTCTGGGAAAAGTTCAAGGATCCAAAGATGCTAGAGAAATTAGTAAAGATCAGAGACAAACACAGGACCGTAAGCCTGGAGGAGGGAAGGATTTGGCTAATTACTAACAAAGAGGCTGTCAGCATCCTGAGCTGGATGACCCAGCATCAGGCACGATACTGATTTTATAATCTGTCTGTCAAGTCACATATCAAGTGCGTACTACCCTTTAATCTGTTCACCAGACACTTAATGCACGAAAGATGCTTCTAATAAAAAGTGAACTCGGCTGCTCTCAGAAGCCTTTTCTCATCATTCCAGCAGGCTGGATGCAAACTCTGTCATATCAAATACTTAGGAAGCCTTGCATTCCCTCCTCTCATATATATGCTGATTTTTTTCAAGTCTCAGCAACAACAGCTCAGCTCGAGATCTAAGTGAAGTGGCAAATGCGTTTATTTCTGATAATTCAAGGAACTTTTGATAAAACTCAGAAGACCTGAAGTGTCTCCACTGTTAAGCTCAGGAAAACGAAATCTGGCAGATAGGTACACTCAGGTCACAGTAAATACTCAGTTTCTCAGGAAATTCAATCCCCATACAGCTAAATTACACCCACAGAATAGCACAGACTTGAGATAGTCAGATCTGCCTAATTTACCCACGCACTCCAGGGATAACCAAGTTCTCATTCTTTGCTGATCTTCCTGAGTCACTCTGATACAGCCAAACAAGACTGAAAATCAGACTTTCGGCAGAATTTCCAGGCTAAGTTACTGATGTCCCTGGATGCACTCACCATGCTACAGTCCCAGTCACTGCATCCACGTGTACATGTGTGTATATATCTACGTGTATACATATGTGTATGTACGTATACATTTTTAAGGAGGAAAAAACCCCATTCAACAGGTATCACCACAACCGTTTCTTTTGATTTAGCATGAGGTTGAATACCATGAAAAAACAGAAGATATGTAAACATTGACTACAGTTACGTATCTTCCCAGATGGCAAAATAAGCATGCAGAGGAGGCTTTATTTCTTAAATCACCTGCTTTTTAAATGCCTTCTGGAAGCCTACCATTATTTCAAGAGAAAGCAAGTTCATTTCCTCTGTAACTTCGTTTACAGAAACATGGAGTGAAAGCATTAAGCAATAGGTGCTCAGGCTACTTACCCAGATTATACCACATATCCCTGATTTCAAAACCAATCTGCCTTCTCATATCACCGTACCTTAAAAAGGAAAACAAAACCACCATTAAAAAAAAAATAATCTAATATCAAGAAGCAGAAACATCTCGTTTCAAAATCTGATCAGCATTCAAAAATATTTGAAATTACAGAGCAGGTTCTCCAAATTCAACCAATACAAGAACATTGCACAGCCTCCCTCACCAGCTCAGCGATGCGCCTGTAAACGCTTTGCCAAAAGTCCTTTTTACAAGGGAGTGAGGCACCGAGGCTGCCTGACACATCCCCGCTACCCCAAAAGCCTCGGCCACGCAGCCATCAGCCTCTCTTCCTCGCCTCATCTTCCGTGCTCTCCCTCAAAAGACCCTCATTTTCAATTTCTGCAGCAACACTTACCAAAGGGAGAACACATGCAAAACATTCACCTGCGCAAAACCTCTCTTTGCCGTATTTTCAGATTACCTAACCATCCTCCGGAAGACGTGGGTGGTTACAGAGATTAATTTTGAGCGTTTTCTATTTTTTCAAATGGTAATGGCTGGAGGAAGCATAGCAAAGAGCTTCAGGGCCTAAGGCTGTATTTTATTTTTATACACCCTCTTAGCAGAGCATTAACCCAGAAAATACAACAAGGAACATCTTGCGACGTCTCGTACCTCGCGCAAAATCAGACGGAGAAGGTTTCTACGTTCCAATGGGCTTTGGTGTCCTGCCTGGGTCAGACCAAAAGTGAGTGGTCCCAGGCAGTTCGGGGGCAGAGGTGGGAGCCCATCCCTCAGCCCCCCCTGCTAAACCCACCCCGGCTCCACCGCAGGGTCGGAGGCACCAATGCCTCCCATCTCCCATCAGGGTTATTTAGATATACCGCTCCCTCTCCATGTTAATACCAGGAAAGCTTAATGAATGGAAAACATCCTATTGCCTTTGTTAATGATGGGATCAGAACCATAACGAGCTCCAAGCATACAGTTGCTACACAGAATATTTGTATATTAAAGATCATTACTTAAATAACAAGGTGAGGAAAATGGTAATATCTGGCAACTTGTGGGATTTCTCTGGGATAATAGTGAGATACCCTGTCATTAATATGGATTAAAGAGATTCTTCTGCATCATTAAGAATATGTTATTATCTAATGCTTAAATGCAATGTTTAGCAAAAACTACAAATTACAATAATTAAATTTTAATTATTAAATATTTGACATATTAATTGAAATACATACTTAAAAAGATGGGTGAGTGTGATATTGAATTAACTGATTAATTATATCCCTTTGGCACAGAACTGGTAGTGGTTTCACACAGCAATAAAAGTTAGTGCTTCCAAACTATACATTTATTGCATCTTGAAGAATTTATGGTCTTGATTTCTGTCTCCAAAACATGATTAAATTGAAAATAACAACTTGTAAAACCATTATAAACAGAGATTTACAATTTAGCAAACTTCATTAAGTAACCAACTTCAAATGACTTAATCTATTTACTTCTATGGGCAGTGAGAAATGTCTGCTGATTTCCTGAATTTCTTCAACAAGATATACTGCTCAGTTTAATATAAAAATCACTTGAAGAAAATTTCTGTCTAAGGTTCCCGTCCTCACAAAGAGGGAATATCAGCCCACAAATGTATTTGTCAGTAATTTCCAGGCCAATTACAGCTTGACTGTTGTTTTTTTCTTTTGTTCAGGTCAGGAGTCTGATCTGAACTCAAATGCTCACGTAGGTGCACACCAACGTCGGCCAGAGCCAGCAAGGGGAGACCGACAGCAGCCACGGCTTTGATCCCTCTGCCCACCAATCGATCGGAGCGCTTTGCCTTTTGCAAGTATCCTTTCCACTCTTAATTACAAGAGAGAGTTTGCATCAATGGTCCCACCTTGTACAAAACCATTTTGTTCCATGAACTCCAAATCTAAGGAAATAAAATGTACCTGGCTCTACGCAACCACCTTGATTTCCTTTTGCAGATGTGTAACTCTAATGTTATTTATGATATTTACAGCACAAGTGCAAAAACCTGAGCTCTGCTTGACATCACTTTTCCACCGAACCTGTAAATATTCCTGTTTCATCAAGGAAGCCCCACGAGTCACAGGTACGTACGTTAGATCATACAGCGCTAAAAAATTCTGTTTCAACACTCGGGTAAAGCACAGCTTCCAAAGGAAGCACCTCAAAACCCATGACGGAGTGGATGCGTTTGAAGGGCAAAACTTAGCTGCCAAAAAAAAAGGATGGGACATACAGCCCTGTCGTTTCTGGTCAAAGCCCGCAACCCACCCAGTTAAAATCAAAAGCCTTTAAAATCACATGTCAGTGCAGCAGTGATAAACTCTTCCCATTCCCACTGTGATCTCTCTCGTCATCATAATACGCAAAAAGGCTTGAATTTAGAAGGTGAAGTGATACAAAATGCATCTTTTTCCTCCGTATAGATATATAATATATATTGTACGTACAAGCAGTCTGAGTTATACTTGTTCAGGGAATCATAGCCTTGAAACTCCCCATTTTTGTGCGTTAACTGTGGTAATCTGATCGACCATGGGAACAAACTGCTTTTGCAGGCACTCTTTACAAATATTACGACACCGAAAGAGAATCCACACACTACGTTTGAAAACATGTAACTGGCTTTTTGCAGTGCTCAGTGATTAGTTAATTAACGATAAGGTTCACTACACTGGAACTCCAATGAAATTTAGGAGAAACACATACATTAAAATATTCATGCTCCAGTCTTATTTCCAGTCCTTTTTCTTTTGACAGCTTTCATTTGCTGTGGGACTCTGAATAGCAGCCGGGTAGTTCAAGCTCCCTGTTCAGAGGTAGGCAATGTAATCCCTTTTAACCAGGAAAGCATACAAGACTCCAGTTATACAAACCCATTCTTCAGGGATATCGCAGTGAAACTGGCTGTAGTTACAAAAATTCACTCTAAAAGGCCGTTAGGGATTAAGCAATAAAGAGCGCACGTAAAATGAGATTAGAATAAGCACAAAGCTAAAGTGATTTAAAAATTCAGTTTTATAATACGTTAATACTTCTGAAAAGTCTTGACTTTATGAACATCCTGCAGTATAAAATACTGTCTTCATCACTAATGAATCATGTAATTTAGATCTTGATTCAAGGGTAGAAACACATGCAATACTTGATTCATGTTTTTAAAACCAACCTTTCATTATACCATGATTGCATCTCAATTTGAATGGATTTAGCTAAGAAATTAAACTAAAATTATGTTAATAGACCTCAAGTTCTTGTCCATGATTTAGATGACGAATAGGACTTACTTGTTAAGTATTTTTGCTCTTTTAGCACTTGAAAAATTCTCCAGTTGTAAAGACTCTTGTGTGAGAAAAGCAACAGCCAGGTGGAAGTAGTTGTTCCAAAGCTGAAAGCCCCCAAAATGACAAGAATAGATACCATTAATGCTCTGAAATGTTTTTCTGCACACTTACAAAACAACTTAGAAGTATCTAAATTATGCACATAAATATTTAAGGGAGGAAATAACAGACACCACAGAGACTGTTTCTTGATACATTCTTAGTACATCTCCTCGTCGTGTTTACATTTCCATGAAACACTTTCCCTCTACAAATCCTAATCGATTGTGTTTTGACGATTCAAGTAAAATTAAATGTGAACACATAAATACAAAAGAAAAAAAAAAAAGGATCCTGAACAAGTGACCTAAACCGGCGCGTTTCTCAGCAGCAGGGCACTCGGACGCCGCGTCTCAGGCTCCATGTTTGAGGCCATAATTCTGCTAAAGCATCTGCTGCAGAAAGGGGGAGGACACCCCTTTTTGCTGGTCCTGAAGGAAAGGAGGAGTTTTCCATGATGCTGTGGGTAAGACTTAATGCTCTTCCAGGACAAGACCCACAAGACGTAAGTGGATTGTACATACCTGCTGAGCCTGAAATGACTTAACTGGGCTAAGTGGTCAACTGGGGTTCATGACGACACATACATACACCAAAATCATGCGTTTAGGACAGGAATTTATTACAACATTAACATTAGTCCCCAAGACACTGGTGTTTTTTTTCTTACCTGTAACTCAAAGTTGGCTTGATCAAGAAATTTTTTGTTTAGCATATCTGCATACTGATTAATTGCTCGCAGGAAGACTCTGAAAGATCAAGAGAAAATTACATAATTACACAGTCTTCTGTGGTACCTTTGTACATTTGGCATTCCAATTAGACAAAAATCTGAGTCTGTCCGGAAAGTGAAATTTGTAGCTGCTATTTGAAAAGTGGTGTGATCTTACCACTGTTAAGTATACAGAATTATATGCAGATGTTCTCAAAATTAATCAAGTAAATTCGCATATGCAGAAACACAAGGAATGTTTTGGATAAAATCACTTGTCTTTAAAATATCTCATGATAATCAAGAGGTCATTAAAAATTCAGTTTATTAGAAAAAAGTATATCTATTTTTAAAATTACAGCATCGTAGTGCTGTATTGAACCTAGGCCTGTCAGTGGCCGTATTTTAACTTGCAGGTCAAGCAAAACATGTTTTTAAACACGAGGCAAACACTGTTTTACTTACGGCACGATAAAACATAAAAACGCTGTTGAAGGACAATCTTGAGAACATTCCACTTCTAAAATGCTAATTTAGTACCTAGTGTAGTTTATTGCTTTTCTAAAAAGGACGCTTCTTAAATTGCAACAGGACTTGGCTTGACAAGCTTTAAAAATAAAACCAAATGGTACAGTATAAGTAGGTCACTACATATTCATGGTGCTGAAAAGTAAACATATTATTCTTTGGTACCCTAATCTCCATTTTCAAGATAAACATTAGATTCCTCCTGAAAACTTTAAATTTATGCTATGAAAACTGCCAGCTAATGCCCAGACAAATGAGCTTGTCTTTTGAGCAGACTGTGGTAGAGATTTATGTCTCCTGAAAGTGCCGGCAATGATAAAGACCAATCATGACACGTACTACTGCCCACGCCCCCCCTCAATAGCAATCTTTTAAAAAAAAGTGTTCACTGTTGAATGCAAATAACAAAGTTAATCTTTCTACAGGCTGACCAACAAACATCAGAATTATTTAAAACAAGCCAGAAGAGGCAGTTAGAAAGGTCTTTTACTGAATTCAAAATACTAGTGATCTCTCCTGAAAAATATTAGTATTTAGGCAAATGTTTGGTAACCTAAGAGAAATGAAGCCTCCAAACAACACACCGGCATCAGGATGCTAAGAGAGATTATTCATGTATACTACATTAATGAAGTAGGACAAAAACTCTGACGCCACTGGAATGTATCTATACTATAAAGTCAGATCACCCCCACAGTAGTGTAATGGAGTAGAAGGAAAGTATCCAAATATGAAAATAAAAATTACATTTGTAAAAGAAAATAAAAAAGAAAATTTAAAAGATGAAAGAATATATAAAATATAAATGAACACAGAAAAAAATTAAATACATACATATATGTAGGTATACATGCATCCATACATCTTACAATATTACTTTTTACAGCTAAGGTGTCATAGGCATCTTTGCATTTGCATCCAGCATACGCAGAGATGTAGTTCAGGCACAGCACTTCTGCACATTATTCACCAGTATCTTTGTCAGTGTATGTATTTGGAAACAACTTCATTAAGAGATTTTATAAATGAGATGAATTCAGCATACACAATAATACACTGCAGACATATGTATTTTAGATCTATGATTCAATTACGGAGCTGGAGCATATGCTAAGATTGAAACTGAAGTCATCCATGTAATCGGGCTATCAACAGTTTGATATGTCGACTTATACCCTATTTTGTTTTGTGGCTTTAAAGTCTGATAATACTATGAGATCCGTAAGTCTTCCTAGAAGAATTAGTAATTTAACATAGTAGGAAGGGTCATCTAACGCTGCTTGCCTTACGAAGATAAAATCGGTTCCAATACAGGCAGGATTATGCCTACAATTTAATTATGTTGCCTCCAGACATCGCTGTAATGCATTCAATCTGCTCCATCTAATTAAGCTTTGGAACAATCTCATTACTTTATATACTGTTATTTTTCTTTAAATTGTAACTCTCATTTTTCCCCTATATTCATTCTAGGGAATACCAATAAAGAACAAATAATGCAGAATCTACTACAGTACATTGCAACGGCAAAAGGACCAGAGTACAGCACATCTGGTAAACCGTAATTGTAATTAAACATCACCATCCTCACACAGCCCATGTGCTACCCCTGTAATCAGGCTGCTTCAGGAAGGCAGGTATTCCCACCACCTGTCTGCAGAGGAACATCAAAAGAAGAGATGCAGAGATTTAAGTGTTGATTTTTGAATTATTCAAACCCCATTTTGATTTTGATTTTATTTGACGATATACTCAATCCTTCCGTTACTGGATAAAACACTTCCTCATGTGTGTCAGTGAAGAAAGCCCAGTTCTTGTCCCAGTGAAAGTCAACAGAACAATATTTTTATTATAACAGTATATCTTCAGTTGCAAATCGAATGGAAGTCAATGAAGATTTTGTGCCTGTCTTGACCAGTACTGAAAGGATCGCTGGAAATATCGACAGTCCCATTACTGCAACATGGAGGGCACTCAAAATACGACTATTGCCGATTACGGTACCGCAAAGTGAAACATGACTGGCACAGCACGGTAACAGTAAGACCCATCCTGAATAACCCAGGTTTAACTGAGGAAATGGGAAGTTATGAAGGGGATTAATCAGCAACCAATTTAAGTACTACAACCTCCTGGCACAACTGAAGTCACGAGAATGACTCCGTCACGGCTAAGCTCGCAGCTCTTTCCAGTATCATCTAGTACCTCCAGTTCCAAGAGAAAACAGCAAAATTATGATGATCTTTATCTGATGAAGTTAGTTTTAAGAACATATATTAAAATATTGGCTATAAGAAGTAGCTAGTTATAGCTAGCACACTGAGAAAACAAGAGTAGAGAGATTTCATCACAGCACTCCTGCTTCACCTTGGTGTAAAGCCTCATTGTTATGGGGCCCAACAAGGAAAGGCTGGATTTAGATAAATGTAGTTTTCTATCAGGCTGAGATCACTGACTACTACTCCGTGTACGCCTCACCACCTCGTAATCCCTTACATATCCACACAAGAGTGAGGAGAGGTGTCAGCTCAGAAAAAAGGTAAGTATTTCTACCTGGAGTATTCAAACGCCATCCTGTGAATGAGCTGCAATTCAGTGAAAAAGAATGAGAAAAAATAACAACGGACCCAGGGCTACAGGGTAAAAGTAGGATGGTTAGGTTGGCATCGCTTCACCATTTGGGTGCGACACTTAAGTCGTGTGGTTAATCAGACAGAAAGATTACTACCCTGAAGAGATCATTTCGATACAAAAAAATTTTGCTTGATGAATTCTTGGCTCTAATCTCCGAAATGGTATGTTATCACCTGTGAAGTTTGCCGCAACTCATGAATGTAAAAACGGTTCAGGTTTATGCCCAAATAAAATTCAAAAGAGGAAGCAGAAAAATTTTATGAATCATTCCAGGTGTTAGTTTAACCCTCTTCCTCCTCTAAAGCAGGTACTGACAATTTTCAAAGACAGAGAAACTGAAAAAATGGAGGGAAATGTGGCTTTTCAGAATAGGCACAATTAAACCAAATGCATCAGTTCTGTACTGCTAACACACGTAAGGATGAAAGGTGTACTTGGACATCACTGGGCCAACAGACAAATAATCAAAACTACGTCCTATGCTCAGACGGAGAACATCAATCCGCAGCGGCATACCTTATCTTGCTGTAATTAATAATAAAGATTAGCTTCCAGTTGCGTGCTCAGATGGAGAACATCAATCCGCAGCAGCATACCTTATCTTGCTGCAATTAATAATAAAGATTAGCTTCCAGTTGCATGTGCATAAAAAGAAGTGCTTTTCTTGAAGCTGAGTTTCAATTAACAAAAGAATACATTATCCGTGTCAGGAATAGCCACAAAAGTTAAACACTGAAAAAGAGAGAAGTTCAGAGACTGGAACCGATCACAATGTACTCGGCTGCAATACCGAGAATGTCACACACAGCAACAAAATCTATTACTAACATATTGGAAAAGATTTGTTAGACAAAAGACTTTATCAACCCAATTAAAAGAAGGAAATTAACATTTCCAATGATGTGATTGGAATAGAAGGAATATGATTACAGAAGGAAGTCACTTCAGGATATGTGAAAGGAAGAATGACCATTGCTAAAGGGTATATCTACCCAGTAACAAAATTAACAGCCTGGACAGATGAGGTTTATGTGTGCTGAGCCCCTGGGGATGAGTGGTGCTGGGGATCGCTCCCAAAGGCATCAGCAACTTTCTGATGTCTCTTCCAGCTCTGGAGCCCT